GTTGCTGAGAGTGTATACGCTGGAGTCGTAATAGCTTGATTCGTATCCAAGGGAAGAGAGTGTGCTGCTGAGATGTTTCCACCAGCATCGTGCTGCTTGCTTCGTCCCGTACAGAGCCTTCTCTAGCAGGCACGCTTCCCCCTCTGCTGTCGGCAAACCTTCTGGCGCGGCCACCCAGACTTCCTCATCTATAGGAGCATTGAGGTATGCAGCAACAAAATCGAAGTTGTACACCGGCCAGTTATGTCTTGCGGCAATCGTCAGTAGAACCCTCATGGAGGTGAATGTCGCCGTTGGTGCAAAAGTGTGCGCAAAGTCGGTACCTTCTTTCTGATTATAACCCTTTGCCACGTATCGTGCTTTGTACTTGATTGACCCATCATCGTTAACCTTCTTAGCAAACACCCAACGTGCACCCAACTTGCGTCGATTACTGGGCAGTTTGCGCACCTTCCAAACTGATTTGCGTCGTAGATTTTCTAGCTCCGTATCAACGGCTTTCTTCCACTCGTGTGCATCAGGCGATCTCATAGCAGCTTTGAAGGTTTGGGGAACGGCCATCGATGCATCCGTGCAGTTGGCAAGGCACGAGTCGACAGTTTGACTCGATCTTCCTCAGTAAAATCCCCAAGACGCATATGTTTCATGTCCGTCTGTTGCGTTTGCGTCATGGTTGTTGTCGATGCTTCCTTCGGTGGATCAACTGGCGGGTCCGCTGTGGGCGTCACAACCTTGGTCGTTGGGGGCGGTGAAGGGAGAGAGTTCCGGCCAAAGTCGGCCCAGGCAGATGATATCAGCTTCTTTGTCTCGGGTATCCAGAAGGTCCACCCTTTTGAGTTGGGGAGGTGGGACACAACTAGCCCCTCTATAGCTCTATTGTCAAGCTTAGTCCGCTTTTCTGGTGCCGTCGTGATGAAAGCCGTGGAGCCAAAGACTCGCGTTTGATCTAGTTGGGGTTTGTCGCCATAAAAACATTCATATGGCGTCTTATCCTTGCTGATTCGGTTGGGTATCCGGTTCAGAGTCCAAGCTGACCACATGAAAGCGTAGCCCCAGAATTGCTTGCTGAGACGGCTATCGTAGAGTATGCTTCTCCCCATATCCGCAACAGTCCGATTGTACCTTTCGGCAGCCCCATTTTGGAAGTGGTGGTATGGAAGCGATCTCTTGGCTAGTATCCCTTTATCCGAGAGGAACTTGGCGAACACCTTAGAATCAAACTCACCACCATTGTCTGACCTCAGGATTTTCAGGCGTGATCCGGTCTGGGTTTCCCAACGAGTTGTCGTCTCCATGATCGATTCTGCTGCCTCAGCCTTAATCTTAAGGATCTTCACCTCACTGTATGACGTGAACACGTCTCGGATTGTGAGTGCGTATTTACCACCTGTCATAGTAGGGGGATTGAAAGGACCCATCAGATCAACACACACAACCGATAGTCGTTCCAAACACCTGTTTGTAGGACCTAGTACTGATTTGCGAGTCGCCTTACATATAGAGCAAACTGGACATTTTATAGACCCGCTTGGCATCTTGGTAGGTAGACCGTAACCCAGCTGCAGTTTCACTAGTTGTCTAATTTTCCTCAGGCTAGCGTGGCCGAATAGGCGGTGCCAGAAGAGGAGGATCTTTTCATCGGGTGACAAGTCCTCAGTTTTCCAAGTAAACTCGCTGTGCTCAATTAAGTTTGGGGATTTGAAAATGGATTGCAGATTGATGTCATGTTGAGAGAAAGTATTACATCTGGGTAGACTATTTTCAAGAGACAAATGGAAACTCCTGATCGGTCGCGGAAGTGGCCAAGTGTTGTTCCGTGGGTCAAAAGTGCTACGGAGGAGGAGTTGTCCGGTGCTGCTCAAGAGATCAATCGAATCAAGGTTCCCGTTGATACGGAAGTAGCCGTTAGCCTTCTTGATAGCTGCCATGGACAAGAGGGTTGATCTTGCTCGCTCACAGAAATACACCTTCCTAATTGCGATGGTTGTTCCGTTCATCCCGGCAAATTTCAAGGTACCCGTGCCTGTAATGTAGTCACATGATGTGTCAGTCGCCACACGGACGGCAATCGGTTGATCTAGCTCGGAAAAGTCATGTAGGGCGTACCTGTCACCCGTGACATTGTCTGAAGCGCCCGAGTCCCAAATGACCTCTTGGCCTTCGTGATCCAAGGCTAATTCCCTAAGATCAAAGCGCATGCCTGAGGGTTCGGTTGATAGTTCCTCGGATTCAAAGACGTATTCATTTTCCTCCTCGGCAAAGACATTTGGGTCAATCATCTTGACATCCACTTGCTTGGCTGGAGCCTTGGATTGGTCACGAGGTGGACGCGAGGGCGTGGGGGGGGCGGACGCATCGGGTTGTAACGGACGAATGTAGGGTAATTTGTCGAAGTTGTACGTCACTGAGCAAGGCGGAAAAGGGTGGGATTTCAGCTGCGAGAGGGGTGGCTTGTACATCTGAGTGTTTCCACGTTTCTTTGCTGGGCAGTCCGGGGCAATGTGACCGGGTTTCTTGCAGATGTAGCATTTGGGGATCTTGCTCATGGCCATAGCCTCAACTGCCTGAGCGTCGTTCTCCTCGGGATTCGCGGAGTTGTTGGTGTTCTTCAGGTCTAGGCGTAGGGAGGTGGTTTCAGCTAGTCTAGAGTCATCCAAGAGAGACTGTTCAGTCCGGGTCGAATCTAGGAGTCGAAGGAGATCCTTCAGGGAGGGCGTCTGGCATTCGTGTGTCTCCATGAATATCTCTACCTTCTGGTCGAAGGCCGAGCGATGATGATCCCGGAGATTTGCCTGTAAGATGAGGCCCATCATCTCATCGAGGGTCAGCGAAACCTCAACTTCATCAAACGCCCTGGCGGTCTCGTTGAAAGCTGCCAGGATGCCAGCAGTGGTGTTGTGTTTGCTGGGGTCCACCGAGATGAAATCGCGCCAGGCTTTTAGTTGCGCGGCTCTGTTGACCGATCTGAATTTGGCGACGATGTGGGCAAAAACGGCTGCCGACGATCCTAGGGACAGAAGGTCGTAGATGAGGTCTCGATGTACCGACGAATTCAGAATGCCTCGTCCTATCTTCTCATCAGTGCTATCGATAACGGTGCCTTTGTCAGGCGTAAAGAAATTCGGATCACCGAATTGTTCCATGCTGTGCATGCATAGCATGCGCTCCCATCGGCGTAGGTTGGAACCATCTGGTTTCAGGATGTCGTCGTCTGCCATCCTCTTGGCGACCGCGGCTACGGTACTTGCTATGCGTGTCTGTTCCTCCAGATTGGCGCGGCGTTGTAGTCGCTCTTCATCCCGGTCTCTTCTGGCTTGATCGGCGTCACGCTGCGCTTTCATCTCAGTCAGGAGTTGGAGGGTGGGATTCGGCTCGAGATGCGGTGGTGGATCTTGTCTGCGCCAATTGGTGGATGACGAAGCTGCTGTGGGCTTGTCGGCAATCCTCAGTTGAAAAGCAGTTTCTTCCGGGGTTTCCGAACGAGCTGTCTCCTTGCCTTTGAACGACGCCGTTCGAGATCCGCCTCCATGTGTGGTGAGGCCGGTGATGGTACGACCAACCTTTCGACGAAGGGCATCGGTTGCATCCGAGGTCCGCTGTTTCTCGATCGCGTCACGCAGTGAATTGCTGCCAGGTGTAAGTCGACCGGTCTTGGAAAGGGTGCTTATAGGCTTACGATAGGCTGATTGTTGCGGCTTATATTCTGGTCTGTGATCGTCGGACATGATGTTGTGTCGGGTGGGTGGAGTGGGAAAAGATGGGGTGATTGGGAAAAGATGGGGTAATTGGGAAAAGACTTGGGAAAGAAAAAAAAATGATCGCCGTCGGTCGGCGCAGGTGATCTCAGGCAGAATCGGCTGTCTCAGAGTATTTCTCCAGGCCACTAAGGTTCTCAACCTAGTCCGTTGATTATTCAGTATGTTTGGTTACGGGTGATCAGTCCGATCTCAACGTTAGCTATAACGTTCACCAGAACTTTCTGATTTAATCGCAGGAGTCAGAAGCTAAAGCTTAGTGTGACTATTGATTTACGCTGATATAACCAGTCTACACTGAGCCGGAATCGGTCGAATATTGAGGTGAGAGCGGAGAAAGAGAGGAAAGAGAAAAGAAAAAAAATCGATTGGATCGGCGGAATGTATGATGCTCGCCGTCAGACTACGGTGCTCGTCTTGATAGACTACGGTGGGTAAGCTCGTCTTAACGTTGGAAGACTACGGTGTTATTCTCGTCTGGCAATTGGCTACCGGTAAAAAAATTTTCGAGCTACTCCGGCGAGAGGCTCATAACCTGTTGGAGTGAGAGCTTGGGAGATCGATGATTTTCATTACATTTAGTTATGAAAATCACTCTTATGGACTAACTACAAATCTGTGACATGTGTCGCAGTCGAGCCCTATGACTATGTCACAACAACGCTACGCTAACAGCTAACACACTCTTGTGCCCTTTGCGGGTAGCATTAGTGCAGAAAGGTGGATTTTTTGCTAACGCTACGCTACAAAGTAGCGCATTTTTGCTGCGCTACGGTTAGGGTAGCTGGCCCACCATTGGGTCAAGCTAATGTTAGTGGGCTATTTAGCATAGTGTAGCATAGTGGCCCATTAGGGGGGTTCACGATAGCTTTTCACCAGAAAGTTTTTATTGTCCCACCAGAAAGGTTGGGCATGCTGCGCAGGTTAAAATTTTAGTCAATTTTTAACACACCAGAATTGCTGCCATCATGAACGTATTGGCAATCACTTATAAGTTCCACATCACCACTCAAGTTATCAACTGCTCCAGCACATTCATTGCAGATCACCACCAATCAGCTTCCACAGAACACCAGATGGTGATGACCGGTCAGAACCAGTCATCACCATTTTGGGTTGGCCATCAATGGTGCTGACCAACTCATCAATGGTGATGACCGGTTGGTCATTGATGGAGTCAACTGGTCCATCATCATGATGAACGGTCATCACCATTTGGGGTCAGCCATTGATGGTGCTGACCGGTCAGATTTGGTCATCAATGGTGATGACCGGTTGTTCACCAATGGAGTCAACCGGTCCATCATTGATGGAGTCGACTGGTCCATCATCGATGGAGTCAACTGGTCCATCATCGATGGAGTTGACTGGTCCATCATGATTCATTGATGACAAAGAGTCGGTCATCAATGGTGATGACTGGTTGGTCATCAATGGTGATGACTGGTTGGTCATCAATGGTGATGACCGGTTGTTCACCAATGGAGTCAACTGGTCCATCATTGATGGAGTCAACTGGTCCATCATCGATGAAGATGACCCGTCATTCATTGATGGTGATGACCGGTCGGTCATCAATGGGATGGTTGTACACTATTGATGACCAATCAATGACCTTTATTGATAGGTCATTGATGATTGAATAGTACTGGTCATTGATGGTCATTGAGGGCAATGATTAGTGTTCTACCATCCATGACTGATCAATACTGGTGATTCATGCCGGTGAGTATAATGGCCATTGGTTGATGACCAGCAGTGAGTCATGGATGCTGGTCGTTGATCTTGTCTTTCTTTTTAGGCTAAATTTTAGGCCAAAAACATGACCAGCAAGAATTTTTTTAAGGGGGACCAGAAGCCAAAAAAGCTATCGTGAACCCCCCTATTGCTGCCTCAAGCAGGACCAATTATCAAGTCACTTTCAAGTTTACTTCCATGCTACAACTGGCCACGTGTTGCTCAGCAAGATGAATCTCAGATAATTATGAGGCTGTACATGCTCTCTTTAGAAAACCATTGCTCACAAAAACCAGTTTGATGAAAAATGCAACCAACCAGCTGACAACTTGTCTTGGTCCTTTGTTTCTAGCTATACCTGATGAAGGGGAATATATGTATGACCAGTGTTTGTTCTCCTGGAGATAAGTGGCCACAAGTACTTGGTAATTGTTGGTCAGATAGATGGAGCTTGCAGTAATCTTCTGGCTGCACTTGAAAGGACCTCAGATAGGTATCTGGTTGCACTCTTGGATGACTGGAGCAAACATGTTTGACAAACACTCTAGCCAGACAGCTTGTCCTCTTGTTATTGATCTGTGCTACTCAAGACAAGTTGTTGAGTCTGTTGCTTCTCATTGCAACAACAAGTTGGAAAAAGAAAGTCCTAGATCAAATACATTTGTAGAGATTTTCTTCAGCTTTGTATGCCATTGGCCAACATATTAATTGTCTGGCTGGCCATTTGTTTCTTTATAATTACTTACAGCTTGATAATTTTTGCAAATGTGCCAAAACTCAGATAAGTCTTATTTGAGGCCAGATGAGCTAGAGTGACATCACCACAATTCCCTCAGTATGTAGTTGCCTTGGTGATTGCCACCAATTGAACCATGACCGCGCAAGGAGGACGCTGATTGATCCGCTGGGATACGTAGACCCGCTGCTTTGGGGGACCCTCCGGCATGACCCGACCCGACCCAAGAAGGCGGCTTGGGTCCGGACAGCGCTTCCATCGGGCCCAGGCCTTGGCCACTTGAAGAGGTCCATCTGGAGTGATCTTCGGTTTTCAAGCCCCGAGCGGAAAGGAGACTTGCCTTTACTCCAACCTCCTAATCTTGCATCGACTATGTGGTGGAGTAGTCCAACTTCAAATCGGCTCGGCTGATTTCGCTGTCAAGATCGTATGTATGTCTTGGGATCATCTTCTCTTCTCAAAGAACATTGCAGCTATGTATACACTGCATGATTGGTTTGTAAATCTGTAGTTCTGATCTGGCATCTCTGATCCGTTCATTCTCAAGACTTCCATCTGAGGGGGCTCATGCATCAGGAGCAGGAGAGAGCGATGGTACGAAGATGGGTGGTGAGTCTGTGTTACAGATTGTGAGAGTCAGGCTAGGCTGTCTCTGTCGCTCTCCCTTTCCAAATCCAGAGCATTTATTTATCCTGAGCTTGAATAATTCCAGCCTAATAGATCACCGAACAATCCTCAATGGCTCAACCGCTTTCCTCGACTGACCCTCTTCCTGACCTGCCAAGGGTACTCATCCTCGATGCCGACGACTCTTACACTCGGAACATTCTCGACCTCATCCTTGGAATCTACCCGACTGGCTCCCCTCAAGCTGCCCTGCTCGAATCAAGGGTCCTCATCCTTCGTGCTAACAGGTTTGACTGGTACGGATATCGTGTTTTGTTTTGTTTTCCTTTTTTGATGCTCATCCATATAATTTGGATATGTAAGCTCCAGTCGGCATTAACCCGGTCTTTTATTTACACAAATTCATTAAATACATGATCGTAATCTCTCAAGGTCCACCCTCTCAACTCAAATCATCCCCCACTTTGCCGCCATCATCCTCGGACCCGGCCCCGGCCGGCCATCATCGGCCAGCAAACCCGGCGCAACCCTCGAACACCCCGCTAGCATCTTCACTAGGCTCTTCTCTCCCCTTCCGCTCATTGGGAACCACCATCTGCCAACCTTCGGGCTCTGTCTTGGTCACCAGGCCCTCGGCTTCGCCTATGGCGCTGCCGTCCATCCCGCACCCAAGGTCCTCCATGGTCAGCTCTCCAAGCTCCAGCTCGAACTCGGCCCTCTCGGTAGACCCTTAGGCGTCCTCAACCGTCTCCAGCAGGACACATCCGTAGTCCGTTATAACAGTCTTACCGTCGATCCTAGCTCCATCTCCGATCAGGTCGAAATCACCGCTTGGGCTCAGGATGACCCTTCATCAAGAACTGTCATGGGACTGGCTCATAAAACCTTACCATTCCACAGCGTTCAATTTCATCCAGAGGCAAGTGTGGGGAAAATGAATTATTCTTCCTTTGTTCTGGTAACTTATCGGGTCTTTGGTATTTCATATTTTGCAGTCGGTTTGTTCGACAGACGGATCCCAAATACTTCGATCATTCTTTCAAGTCGTTTCGGATTCTGCGCACGTTAACTCGGAGACTGGGATCGGCAGGTCGAAGGCCTACAGCAACTTACCGGATGAGATTCTAGAGCTCAGTGAGCTCAGACGGGGCGTAGAACGAGGGATCTCATCCAGCGGGACGAAGTTCCAATTACGATCAATCGTCTTCAAGAATAGTGATCTCAGTCCAGAAGATGTCTTCAAAAATTCAATCAAAGCTCGTAGCCCCTTAGGCCACGTGTGGCTTGACTCTGCCGACAGTCTGGCAGCATCACAACCTGTTCGTCAGGAATGTTGCTCTCACATGGGCTCGGTGGACTTCTTGGTATCCTACTTTGCCGCTCGCAAGAGCCTGTCGATCCGAGCAGCCTCCGCGCAGCAGGGCTCCGAACAGCCCTTGGGCGATTCGAACACCTTCTGGGACTGGCTACGGAACGTCCAGGACGAGCTGCAGGCCTGCACTGAAATATCTTCTCCCACTGACCCAGCCTTAAACGGAACTGAACAGGCTAACGGCCACTCTAACGAGAAAACCATCGCAGCTCCCGTCGGATTCATGGGCTACATTGGCTACGAGCTCCTCTCTGAATCCCTAGCCCATTATAATCTTCCCTGTCGAGCCTCAGCCGACGTGCCTGATGCTGAACTTGGCTTTTGTAATACCGCCTTGAGCTATCATCATGCCTCTTCAACCTGGACCGCCTCCGCACTCGTAGTCTCGCACAACCGGACAGAGAACAACTCTTCGAATCCAGACTTCCATCAACGTTTCCCGCTCTCGGTCGGCCTGTCTCAGGCTGAATATGAAGATTGGACCAGAACGATGCGAGAGATCTTTTATGGACCAAAACAGAAGAATCATCAAGTAGTAGAATTGCCCGAGCAGCAGCAGCACCAGCAGTCAAATTCATCCAAGCCAACGATGACCAATCGAGCACTCGAGTCGATCGTGAGTGAGAAAGACTACCTAGAGGCGATCACCAAGGCGCAGGCGCAGATCATCTCAGGAGAGTCGTACGAGCTGTGTCTGACAACCCAGTTCCGGGGTGAGCTAGCACAAGCGGAAGAGGATGAGGGACATTTTAAACGGTACGAGGGGCTGCGACGGGCGAACCCGGCTCCATACGGGGCGTACCTGCGATTCAGGACGTACGACACGACGATCCTGAGTTCCTCGCCGGAGCGGTTCTTGCGAGTAGATGGAGCGGGCGGAGTAGAGATGAAGCCGATCAAGGGGACTGCTCGAAGGGTGCTGGGGGACGTCAAGGCGGACCAAGCGGCAGGTCAGACCCTTCAGAGCGACCCCAAGGAACGTGCCGAGAACCTCATGATCACCGATTTGATCCGCCACGACCTACTGGGCTTCTGTGTCCCAGGCTCGGTTCGTGTTGCCCGGCTCTTCGGCCTCGAATCCGTCGCCACCGTGCACAGTCTCGTCTCCACCGTCCAGGGCTCACTCCGTCCTCATCTGAACCCCGTCGATGCTCTTGCCGCCGCTTTCCCCCCGGGCTCGATGACCGGCGCACCTAAACTCTCGAGTATCGAAATCCTAGACCGTCTCGAACTTCATCACCCTCGAGGCCCTTACTCTGGTATCCTTGGCTTCATCGCCATCGATGGAAGATCAGATATGAGCGTCGTCATTCGCACCGCCATTATCAGAAACAATCGTGAGCCTTTCTCTTATTTTACTCTCCAAGAAAATTAAAAAGTTGACCCCTTGATTGATTAAATTAACAGATATCACCGTAGGCGCTGGTGGAGCTATCACCAGTCTTTCAAAGAAAGAAAATGAATGGAATGAGGTCAGACTCAAAGTTGATGCCGTCCAGAGATCTCTGAAACTCTCTCCCTCTTCCTCTGCTTGATCACTTTTTTTTCTCATCTCTCTTTCTCTCTCTCAAACGTGCATCAAGAATTGGTACAGGGGAACACACATAAACACATACTTTTTTTGGCTCTTTGGGTTTGTTTTCAGAAAAAAACTTGCTTTGTTATATTCTGTTCCATCTTTATAATTGATTAATTTCATCTTACTGCTAACTTATATTGTTCACTTTTGTTTATTTATTTTATCATTTGGATCTTATCTCTCTCTTTATCTTAATCACCAACTCCTAAAGTCACCAGAAAAAAAAAGCCATGCTACATTATTAATTTCTCTTTCCTCTCCTAGTTTCTCAAGTCTTGCATAAGATGCATTCCAACAATCCCTCTCCTTACATCCCCCAATCATCTCCTTCTGCTGCCCCTTTTCTCACCCACATCCCAACCATACACTCATTTTTTTTCTTATGCACGTTTGATCTATTTATATACCCATGCTTGTTTTCAGTAATCCTTTGTGCCCTTGTTGGATTTTCTTTTTTTTTTCACTGGTCTGTTTTTTTTTGGGGGGGGGGGCAGAGGAGTGGTGATGGGAAATGCATTTCTCCACAATCAATGGATGCATGAAAAAGATGAACAAGCTGGAAGCAGATGTTCCCCTGATCTGCAATGTTTCCTCAGTCCACTTTCATACAGCAGGTGGGTTGTTTCTAACTATTGTAAGAGTTAGTATGCACTCTTTGAGAAGTCAAATGGCAGTCTTTCTTGGCTTATGCTCTTCTGGGCTGGCTTTGCAACCTTGTCTTTCTTTGATCCTTCTTGCCCTCATGTTCATTCAGAAGGATTGGATTGTCTACCCTCAGACCATCAAATCAACTTGAAAAATAGCTTTTGGGTTGCTATTTGAAGTATCACAAAGATTGGGAACAATTGGAGAGATCTGATGTTGAAAGTCTTCACTCAGAGGCCAAAGACTAGATTTCAGTTATTTTCACATTGGATGATATGGAATTTTGAGCGAGATTAATTTTGAGAAATAGGAATGGTATGGTGCAGGCCCTTGATGAAAATCAGCAGTGATCTGATGGCTTGCAACTATAAACAACAGTGAAATTGTTGCAAGAGAAGTGCATTGAAATCCTAGCAGTGGTCTGGTGGCTTGCAACTACAAATGAGGGTGAAATCGGTGCAAATGTCCAATTTTGGGGGTTTTCTTTGCAAATCAGGGGGTCACAAAGGGTGCCTCTTGAGAATGACTGGGTCCAAAATGTTTGCCTTAGACTAACTCATCCAAAATAGTGGTGATCTGGTGGCTTGGAACTATAAATGAGAGGTGGAAATGACCTGAAAATTGCCAATTTTGGGTGTTTTCAATGCAAATTAGATGTCACAAAGGGTGTCTCTTGAAAATGACTGGGGACAAATTTGTTTCCTTCAAAACCTTCATCAAAATTAGTTGTGGTCTGGTGGATTAATCTTGAAGAGACACCCTATGAGACCCCTGATTTGTGTAGAAAACACACAAAATTTTCAATTTTCATGTCCTTTGCACCAAGTTCACTGTCATTTATAGTTGCAAGGAACCAGATCACTACTAATTTTAATGAAGGATTTGAGGGCACACAATTGGGAACCATCCAGATTCACATGAAACCCTTTGTCTCCTCTGATTTGCATAGAAATCACCCAAAATAGCTGATTTTCACATCCTTTGCACTAGGTTCTCTATTATTTATAGTAGAATGCCACCAGATCACCACAGATTTTGTTGAAAAATTCCTTGGCAACCACTTTGGAATCAACCAGCTTCACAAGGCACTGTGTTTGGCTGATTTGCATAGAAAACACCCAAAATTGATGATTTTCATGTCTTTTGTATCAATTTTTTTCACACCTATTGCATCAATTTTACTGTCATTTATTGGTACCAGCCAGAACATCACCAGTCGTTGTTAATGCAAATATTATCAAGAAAACTCATAAGAGAAGAACATAAAAAACCCCGCTAAACACACTTCTGAAACTGCTATGCACATGGGGGAAGTACATTATGTTTTTAGTCCTACCCTGTCTTGTGAAAAAAAGTGACAAAAAGAAATAACTTGCAATCAACTTGTTGTAATTTTGCATTATTAATTGAACTACTCAAGCTTAATTACTAATATTATTATTGACAAGACCTTCTCTGCGTCTTACTGGGATAGATATTGAAGCTGACCACACGCAAAATGTGATCGCAAACAAAATGAAAAATATCACAAGAAACAGAGTAAAATAACCTTTCAGGGCAGACAAGCTATGGCGTTTAAAGTAATCACATAAACTAATCCATTTTGGATTTCCTAACTTGCCCAATCTCACCTTTGAAGAATGGTGGTTTACGCCCCAAGCGCTTGAATATTGATGCTGGCTGGGTATGAGTCTTGGCTCGTTTGTGGACACCTTCTGGTTTGACATTGAGGCTACGATTCAGAAATGACCAGGGGTTTACTCGATCAATCTTGTCTTTCAATAAAAGCCAGCTACGTTGTGAGAGGGCTTTCAAGGGCGTTGTTCTTTGATCTACCCATTCAGAAATGCTGCGAGTAATTTTCGAAGGGATCGTATCGGGGTGATCTATTTTGGAATCATAATTTGCGACGAACTGATGCCATAATAGAAACTTCTTTCTTTCGTTCTCAGATATTTTGCTCATCCCCTTATAGAGGGTTTCAATTTCTTTCTGGTCCCGTGAATTTCTGATTTGTCTGATTCTAGCCCATTCTTTGGGATCTAGTCCAAGGTCGCACCAATGCATAATTTCTAGACCCCTCCCATAACTTCCTTCTATCATTCCTACCTTCCCTACCAAGCCTTTGACTGCGGCGGTTGAAAGTGGGTTTGTATGATCAGATAATACAATGGAGTCACTGAGCTTGGCTAGCCGTTCCACGAAGACTGGGCCATAACGAACAAGAAGCCAAGCTCTTTCAGGCGAATCAGACCAAGAAAAAAATCTGTCATTCGCGGTAATAACTTGAAGTATTTGTGCGAACGCTGAATCAAACGACATTCGACCTGGAGCTTTGTCAAGTAGATGCCTCGAGTCGAATTGAAGAGCATCTCCTATCTTCCATACTGCCAAAGTATCTACACCAAACCTTTGAGAATCGTACAGATCAGGCTGACGACACCATAGACCAGCATATCCAACTCGATTCATTTTGTAATCATATAATTCTTGACGTCTCTTCAATACCTCGGCATCACCAAAGACGTCCAGCAGTAACTGACGAAGCTTGAGCTTACCAGGACCGATCACTGAATCAAGATCCCATTTTCTCATTGGGATTGCAGCTGCATTCTCCACGACATTCTGAGGGTGGGCTGAGATTCCATAAGCTTTCTGTATATCCACTACTAGATCCTGCCATCGGCCTCCCGAAAGAAAGAGCGGAATCGCGAGGGGTGCCCAACGCTCGGCTATAGTGTGATGGTTAAGAAGACGACGGAAGGCCAGGATGCGCCTTTTTGCCTCTGATCGATCCTCAAAAATCTTCGCAATTTCCGCTTCCATTGAAACCCAAACTTTTGATGTGGACGTGTGGAATATAGATTTTAAGTCTCTGTAAACTTCTGGCGTGATATATGAAACGATTCCTTCGAAGTTGTCTCGTTTTTTAATTCTCATCAGGGTCGCCATCAAGAAAAGCAATTTTAAATTGAATTCCTTTTTACGCCAAGTTGCCAGCAAGTCTTTTGGAACATTTACGCGTAGGAATTTATCCTCCCTTGGAGTGATTTTCCCTCGCGATTTGTCAGCCAGCGTAGTATATTTTTCGATGTTTTTGCTACTTTCCTTTTGTTTTCTCGGCCGGATTCCAAATACTTCTTCGATTCTGATCATAGAAGCTTGAGCCTTTGTGTCTACGAGCCCTGCCGACAACCTTATAGCTGGAATTTTCATTTGAGGAGGTGAATTCATCTTGGTATCTTCAATTTCTACTGGCCCGTTGTTTCCATCGATCAATGAATTCGAACCTGGGTCTATCACGGTTTGCGGTTTATCCTGAAGCTCAGGATCGATATCATCAGGAGATTGAACATTGAACTTGATCTCTACACCTCGCCCCTCGAGGTTATGACTGCTCATGGTAGAGGAAGCCAGTGCGCCTTCGCTGGGAATGTGAAGCTTTTCCTTGAAATCATCTAAAATTCTGGTATCAGTGGGCTGGTAAATATGCGGAGAGATTACGGCCCTGAAAAACATGATACCAAGCCATAGGTGGATAATTGTAGAAGGAGCCTGTTGGAAGCCGTGCATCGTGACCGCTGCGCCAGCCTTGCAAGAGGGGAATAATGGATATGGGATCAAGACTTTCAAGCAGGGTCAGGAATCGCGTGCTGAGCGTGCTGATACCCAGGTCTCAAATTCCAATCACCCTCTCTTGTTTCATGAAGAGATGCTTCAACAGGCCGCGGGCGACCCGGACGGCTAAACATGTGGCGCTAAAACTCGGATGTATATACATAATTGATGACCAACTTGCTAGATAGTATTGAGGAATCATGATTGCTCTCACATTGGGTACGGCACAACCTGGCATAACAGATTCCATAAGCTGTAAATTTTTTGGGCCTCTATGACGCAACCGCACGTATACATGCAGAAACATGTTTGCCTTTTATGAAAATATAATGATTTCTATTCCAGTTTAAGCACCACAGCCCCCAGCAGGCTTGAGCCGTGCATCGGTGCGACGAGTTGCAAATGTATAGTAGTGTCACTTGAGTCTTGTCATTTGGCACTACTGTTGTGTCATAGTTGGTTGTTGCCTGAGCTTAACACACCTCCCGGCATGACCTTGCGGGGCTCTGTGATCAGTGTCTACCTCAAGGGATATTTTGACTCGACTGTTGCCAGAGAGTTGCACACGGTTGATAATCTACATAATTGATTGCTCTTCGGGCAACAATCACCTGGACATTATTGAACGGGTGCTATAACTAGGGCGCAGAATGGTTCGAATGGAACCTACACGGTGGTCATTCGAGTTGGTTGGTTAGACTGGTTACTGCTAGCCGTGTAGGTCTTGTCTCAGTAATTTGAGCTGGGCATGACCTTATTGTGAATGATTTTGGGTGGGTTTCACCCTACTGGTGGATTGTGTTGGGTGTTGGCATACAGTTTTGGAATGCTGTGTATGGAGTTTGCTTTGTGGCAATTCCTTCTAGAATTATAATACTTTAGTATTGCAACTTGAATCTCCAACGCGTATGCCCCCACCCGGCGTCTCCAGCAAAAACAGACATGGCAGAGAAAATGTGGTTCGACTCAGTCCTTATGAAATGCGAGGGGGGTGTCGTCCCACACAAAGCACAGCGCTGCCGAATTTGCAGCTTTTTCATCAAGCAAGTCGAATATATAAAGGGCGCGGGGGAGAGGAGGGCAGTATCAGCATCAGGTTGTGATCATGTAGTATCACGAGACGTAAGGTTCATTAGGCGCTGCTAAATAGCTACCTTTTTCATTGTCCATTTCAGTTACTGTTGTTCTGAAGGTGATGCTAGCTTGTTGTGACAGCCATTTGATTTCTTCCTTCTCTCATTTACTCTCAATAACATCTATATTACTCTACGATGGTCGTCTTTTATTACTTTTGTTGGGTTTATCAGTTTTGAGTTTGAGTAATGCGACAGTTCCGGTCTCTAAACAACCCGGGCCAGGCGTTGTTTGTGCGATTTTTTTGTAATCCTGCAGATTATATATCCTCAATTGTTGTTGCCTGCTTGTTAACTATTTCCACGGGTCGAGATCCATGACAAAGAATGAACTGTTGTCAGATGAATAGCGAACTTTCAAAAAAAAAGTCGCAAACCAGATATTCGCTTAATGAAATCGAACGTTGTGGGGTTGGACGGCTAAGTATCTTGCTCGGCAACTTCCACCACTGACGCCCGGCTTTACCATACCATCTTTCCAGAACATTTTGGACAAGAAACCGCTGTTCTTCCTGATTGAGAATCGCCTCGTGCGACCACATCGTCAGAAACATTCATCGGTCCCGAAGTCGAGCTGAGGGTTATAATTCTACTCGGCAACATGAGAATCTAATGGACGCTTTCTGCACGAACACATTGAGTCAAACGCAATGCAATGGGCTTACACGGACTGGATTCAGCGCCGTGGTATCAGTAGGCATAGTCCAGGGGTCTTTGGGCTTCATTCTCGCGGGATATCTTACCATTTTTTGTCAAAAGTTAGTAAAATAATTAACTCCCTCACAATTTTATCTTTGTTTGCATCCAACATCACGAGTCTAGGAGAACGAGACTCACTGACTTTCTCAAAACTCAGGAATCCATGCGTAGTGGCATGGATATTGGCCCTTGACGGCATTTTGTATTTGATCACTACCTCACTGGAAGCTGCGAGCAGATTTCATCCGGGTAATTTGAAGCAATTCATCCAGATGGAAAAGGCCACAGGTGAGTTAGGCCCGTCTTTTTCAATAATTTGATTAAAGAAAGAGAGCTGAATAGTTGACGCTCTTGTTCCCTATATTATAAGCTGGTCTGGGCATCGCAACTTTGATATTGTTCTTTTGCTTTCATGTCGTTTCTGTGAGCTCCTTGGCGAAGCGTTACGATTCGAGGATTGTCCCGGTCGTTTCAGTTCTGCTGACTCCCATAGCGGGCATTGCACTTGCCTTCGATATCCTTGCACTGTGCGCTATTTCTTATGAGGAGATGCCGGATGGAATCAGAGCCGGGGCTGCTGATATCCAAAACTTTTTGGATCCTTCCATTAAAGCACTTGCCGCAATGTTGTCTTTCATGAGCATAACAACTCTCACTCACATCCTCCTTCATTATCTGCTACGCAGACGTAACTCTCAACATAAAAAGAAGAAAGAAGCCCGACACCAGAAAGCCATTAGCAGCTTCTCAAGCTCCACAATTGAAGATGATAAACGTAGTCTGGAAAGCAAAGAACCTCTCCGTCGTTATCTTGATACATTCATACCTTCCACACTACTGGCTATCATCAAAACTTCACTCACACTCTCCCCAGATAATACAATCATCGAACGAAGGATCCTTGGGCTAGTAGAATACATCACTTACGTTATAGTAGTAGTATGTTGGTAAGTCTTGTGGCAGTTTCAGTTATGTAACTACTTTGTTAAATATAAATTTTTCAATCTTTCTGATCATGGTTGTACCCACATAGTCTGAGGTCTCGGCAAGCAGAAAGGGTTGAACGTGATAACTTCTTTGGCCGCATTACATCGAACCCATCTTACGCCCGCTCAACTGGAAGTGAAGAACTTTTGGTACCTCCACAAATTCCGCGGAGTCATTCAATCTTGCAAAGGGCCCCGATGGCTAGTATCGGGGTCGGATCGTACAACTCGACCTCCGTTGTTCCGCGCTCAGTTCGACCGAAGCCACGAGAAAGAAAATCACCACCACAAACACGAAACAAATTGAGGATGAGCTACGCAACCCAAAGTGCATTCTCTTCCCTGGCACCGGAAGATTCAGCGTCAACGGCTGCTTTTCTTCCTCGGCCACCCCCACCTCCACTTCACTTGCGCACACGCACATCACACGGGCCAAATGGCTCGGAACTGGCACCCTTGCGGGAGGATCTTGTAGAGAAATTCAATGAATCTGCAGAAAGGTTTGACCAGCAGACTGCATCATATCTAACTCGCTAAATTCTGTTCTGTGTCATTATCATGTCTCTGTCCTTTTTTCAGGCACAGGAGCAAACAGCTCGTACTTTTCTTCTCTTTGGTATCTTAGCTTTTTCAGGTCTCAAACTGTACATTTCCTCTTTTAACATCATTCTGCAATACCGTACTGTAACATGCAGGGTGTGAGTTCAAATGACTACATTTCCTGAATCAATGATCAAATATCAGCTCGTTTCTCCTTCCGCCAAATTTCACTGTGTGTTCATCTTGCTTCTAGGTTATCATTGTTTTTTAGAATATAAATTATCAATTACTGGTTGATTCTAGTGCAAGGATTTCAAACCTATCAGATTAGTCTATTATTGTATAGCTCTTGGACTTATTTGAACTTCATGTTTGTTGAATTTAAATGTTTAGAATCAAGTAGGATATAAGAAATTGGATTCCAGTTTATTCTAAATTTTTGAAAACAAACCCATTTTGTGATACTAGGAAACAGACAGACACATGAACAGAAAATTACATCACCTTGAATTTTGAATTTGTCTTAGAAAACTCATTGGAATTTCAACAGCTCAAGTCAGTTCAACTTGTTTAAATAGTGTCTTATTACTGAGAGTAAACAGGTAAGATATATGGTGAAAACAGCTCATCAAGAGAAAATTTTTGAGCATGGAATTAATATAGTAAAATTGACAGTGAACCTATTTCATTCTCATGTCAGTAAAAGTATGTGACCACTTGCTCAAGTCATATAGCATTCTGAACATAAAGTACATCTGGCCATGATTCAGATTGTTATAGGAGTGGTGCCCTTTTTACAAGGAGCCACGTGCAAAGTTTGACAAAACCTATATTGCATTGATTTGAGATTTTTTTTTGAATGCACAAAATGTTTGGCCAAATGATAATTACATGGTCTTCCCATAATGGGAGATCTGCTTAACCTTGGCTTTGAGGAGTTGCTTCACACTAATTTGGAAAGTTTATGAAGTAAGTTTATCAGTTTTTTTATGAAAATGGTAATCTGGATGGGGGAAAGATCCTTAATTTAATTGGGAAGGAAATTTCTCATTTTATCCCTGGAGAATGGTTAGCATCTTCTAGTGAAAGAAACTAATGATTATTATGACCACATTGATTAGTAATATTCAATGAGCATTTCATCAGTAATAAGGAAAAGGGAGGGATGTCTTCATTTCATACTGCATGTCTTGACTAGGAATCAGTCTGTAAAAAAATACTTCCGCAAAGGATTTACAAAGTATCAAACTGTTGACTCTGATTCCAAGGATTTAAATTCAATTTGTAAGGGTGTAATGAAAAGAAATAAGCATGAGGGAAATTTTGCTTAAAGGGGGATTTGAAATTTTAGAACAGAATAAGCATCTTAGGGGTGTAATCAGCATTATAGTATGCATACTATATTTTAATCCCTTCTTTTAGACCTATCCATGGACTCTTGTCTTAATGTCTGACAGTTAATGTGGATTTTTGTTGAGTGGTTCTTTAGATTTCACCAAGGGGGAAATCTGCACTGTGATACAGAAGTTGGTTTCCCTCATGAAATATCACGACAAAGAGTGCAGGGAAATGTAAATGGAAACTATGTGAGATCCTTCACCTATCTGGTGAATTGGCAACCCATTGAATTGCAAGCATAGAACCAAACAAGAACATATACGTGAGAAATCAATCCAGGCCAATGTGTTTTTTGACCTGAGACAAAGTAAGATTGGCCACAGCAGCGGCCTTTTGGGAGCCGGCAAGATAGATCTTCTCGACATCTTCACGGGAATTTACGAGCCGGCTGAACTCGGCGTTGAACGGTCTGAAATGTTCGATGAGGAGCTCGATTAATTCGGATTTGAGATCGACAACCGACTTGTCTTGGAATCGTCTCTGGACTTGCTCGAGTTCTTGGCCAGAGATCGACTGGTAAATGTCTAGTAAATTGCTGATCCCCGGCCGGTTCTCAGGATCATATCTGATACTCTCTATGGAGTCAGTGACCGCCGACTTGATCTTTTTCCGGATCTCTTCAGGTGTATCCGTTATCAATATTTTTGTGAGATCGCTTGGATTTGATTTTGACATTTTCATCGTTGGATTCCTTAGGTTGAGAATCTTGCTTTGCCGTGCTTTAATGATTCAAACGTATACAATGAGTCGCGAGATGGTTTGAGTTAAAAGATTGAATAGGATTAAAAATGAAAGGAGATGTCATAATCAATCAGTATATCTTCCACTCTGAGTAGGGGAAAATCCAAACAGAACGGGAAAGAGGTGTACTGTAGATTCCCTGAGGCAGAGGAAATAGGTTTTTGTTCTTGGTTTGTTTGTTGAGAGCTTTTGCTAAGACCTTGGTCAGTTCGAGGTGTTGAATTTGATCTTCACCAACGGGGACCTGAGTTGATTTGTATAGTAAGATGTCTGCTGATTGTAGGACGGGATATGCCAAGAGACCAAGATGTAACATGCTGTCATCGACTTCTGATAGCGAATTGGAGTTTTTGGACGTCGCGATTTGGGACTGAAAATTCAGGCTACATCAGTAAGTTTCGTTTTTTGGATCAATCTGAAAGCCGTAAAACAAAGGGAAGTGAAACAAAACTCACTTTCCATGTCGTCATTCGATTCAATCTACCAACTGGAGCGATGCAGTTCAGAATCCATGCCATTTCACTGTGAGCTGGTACCTAAAGTAAAGGGAATATATGCAGAATTATCATCAAATGATGTTGCTAGGAAGCATTAGAAAAGTAATGTCCTTTCTTTTCTAGAAAAGGGAAAAACCCTACCTGGTCTTGATTGAACAAGCAGCAATGTGCAGGGTCAAGTCCGATAGCCAACAAAACACACATCATTTCAAACCTTTCTTTCTTTAGTTGGAGTGGATCTCGTGGGAGGGTGATAGCGTGTAATCCAACGATCGAATAGTACAAATCCATTTCCTTTTTGCCTTCCTTTTTTAGCTCTTGTAGTCTGATCCAATTCTGCAACGCTCCGACGTAATTACCAATCTACCTTGAGGGTCATAATTACGACAGAAATATTGCATATCAGCGCAAATTCCCTTCCATGTTTCGCAGTGTCGCTTCTTTCAGTCACTTACATGAGGAACGCCCGTCGGTTGGATGCCCGAGAAAATAACCTCCCTGGTCTGATGGGCTTTCATGTCGGGTACCTTATTCGATGTGCTGTTGAATCTTTCTGGGTGAATGCGAGATCCATGCGACTTGATTGATGACTGAGCGAACGTTTCCAGGAAGAACGGCAATCGGCCCGGTATTCGTCCCATTTTTACGTGTTAATGATGAAGTGTCTCTCGGTGGTGTCCTCCACTCGGCCACTGCGACTTTGGACTGGGCCCAGGGAGGGGGCTTGTTCCGGAGGGTTCGCGGGGTTCGGACCTGGGCTCTTCACCAAGCCCGGGTTTTGAGGGTAAACTCCTGTCTGTCAGGATGAAGATGGTACCACCAAGCAGGGGTAACAAATTACAAACCTACATAACAAGGAGTGATTTTGCAGCCCAAATTAAAATCACTTGGAAATGAGTTGCAGAAGTTAAAACCTTTCCAGAATTTTATTTCTGATTTTACCACAAATTCTGAGCCTCTTGTCATCCTTTCAGGCTCTTATTTCAGACAACTAGAGCCTCAAAAAAGGAACTCAGATTTACTTCAAAAAACACAGTAGTTTGACTTTGAAGATCATGCAGGTTTTTGGAATCCATCTTCAGGTTTTCAAGAGCACAGGAAATTGCCTGTGATTATGGGTTGAATATCCTATGATCCACAATAAAAATATTCCGGAATATGATGTGGTAAGACCTTTGTGGTCTTTCCATCTATTATTTTCAAACAAATTCTGCAGCCTGACTTATTGGGATTGAGAACATGAGACCTAAACCAACACCACAACTGATACATCACATGGATTGTACTGAAATTTATGGTGTATTTTATTTTCTGCCTGATATATCAGTCTTTCCAGGATTTGTATTGTATTGGTTGGGGAATACAAGTAACAATACCCATTTGGTGTTTCAGAGGGCCAGAGCCAGAAATAAATTCCCCACACTGCAAAAGGGGTTGTGTTAGTTACAACCGCTGTGGTTAAGTCAAGTGGAAGTGACCAATATGAAATTGGTCTCCCTGACCAATTTCGTATTGGCTGGACCCATCAATGTATGACCCCCAGTCACTTCCAGCCAACATCACCCCAGGGGTCTTAAACCAATACCAACATTGGGCTGCTATGCTATGCTTCCTTTTTTGCCCAAAAAGTGTTAGCATAGTGGGGGGTTTTTTTGCGCATCAATTATACAGTTTTGGTGCACTGATAATTAGTGGGTTGTTGTGAGGGACACAGGTGACTGGACTGAAGGCTCACAGACCTTGTGATACTGGAGCAATCACTAAGATAATTTTTTTTTTTAGATTGAGTGAGGTAGGAAATAGTGATGAGAGACATGCTGAGCTATATAAAACTGGTTAGAAGCATACACTCAATAGGGAGTATCAAATATAGGAAATCCAACATTAGAAACCAGTCACTTTTCCCAAAACTTTTTTTGTATCAATGGGCCCCAAAAGGGTTAAATGAATAACCAAAATTTTTGAAAAAGGGTGGATTTTTTCAAACCAATAATAGTGGATTTGGTTATATTTGATACCCCCTAATATCAGCATCTCAACACAGGTATTTCCTACACCACACTGTGCTCGGCTTTTACAGGGCCAAAAACCCACTAACCAGTGTGTTAGTGCAGCATAGTGAGCCCTTTTTTGGGGCCTGAAACATACTGTTAGCACAGATGTGGCAGAATTCCACTATACTACACTGTTTTTAAGCAGAATTCTGCTACACTATGCTGCACTAAAACTACGGTTAGTGCAACTGGCCCATTGTTGCCAAAATTCAAATTCTCACCCAAGCCTATTCTTGTGTTTGGATAGAGCATTTCTTTCATTGAAATAGGCAAGGAAATCACTAAATTTGAACATGTGAATTCCAATTAAACAAAAGAAGCTCTCCACAATCAAGGGTTAAACAATACAATGTGATGCGATAAATCACCATGTATTGGTATCACATTGTTTTAGCAATACACACTAAATAGATACCAATGCATTGAATCAACATTGTATTGGAAAGCAATGTGTGCTGATACTGGCAATGCACACCAAGAATATGGGAAATGCACCCAAATTATTGTGAATCAATCACATTGCATTGCTGAATTGATGTGATGCCAATACCCTGCATGGATTTTTCCAATGCGGTTGGTGCAATGGGGGCCCCCACATTTCCCACTCAATGTGATACAATACAGGCCCAATGCATGCATTGCATCAGTTACACCATTGCCACACAGCTGCAGGAAAGGGCTTCCAAATGATTTTAAGTTTTGAAATCAATTACTTGAATGAATCCATATGCCCTTTGGCCAAGGATAAAACTCAACAAATTTCAAAACAACTCTAACAAAATGAAATCCAAAGAAGGGGAGTGAGTTTTCAATTTTCAAGTGAGAAGTAAGATAAACTGAAATGTGACACTCAATGGAAAAAAATGACAACTAAATGAAAAATGTGACACTTGACTGAAAAAAGTGACACTTAACTGAAAAACATGATACTTCCAACGCTGTCACAGATACGATACACTGTATGTATCATGGAGAATTCTGCAAAGCTGCATGGCCAAAAACCAAATTTGTTGAATCTCCTTGCAAATAAAAGCAGATTCACTCGAAACATAACTTCATATCCCGCGCGCACTGGATGTGCAGTAAAATAAACCTGGATATGTAGTATTTTTATTTATTTTTTTGTTCACCTCTTCACACCATTTTTTTTTTAAAAAAAACACTGAATATCCAGTTTTTTTTACTCCATATCCAGTACTGGATATGAGGTAGTGTTGAAAGTGATTGGTCAGATAGGTTTTTTTATTGGGGCTCAGATACATAGTGATACATGGCAGATACATGGCAGATACCGTATCTGTGACAGCGTTGATACTTCTTACTTGCCTCCAACAATTTCAACCAGGAGGCTGAGATGTCTTCTTGAGATCAATGTGTTTGGGACCAATTTGATTGGCATTTCATTGCCAGTTTAAATTGACTAAATACAGTTGGTGAGATTTTGAGAAAGAAGAAAAATTATGCAAATCAATGAATTAAAAAAGGCACAAGGAGAAAAAGAAAAAGAGGAAAACCCAACATGAGTTGAAATTGAATTTCAACATGCTTTATCAGCTTGGGATCACTGGTCATCTCTTCAGAGGTGTACTTGAGGAAATTTTAAGAGCATCTCAAGACTTGAGAGTGTCTTTTTTGATTTGGAACCCAAGAGATTGGCTGGGTCAGTAGTATTATTGGATGAGGAACCAGCCAATTTATCTTACAAATAGTAGGGCTCACCTGGTAGACTTGGGCTTCACTGCCCCCCCACCAATAAATCTTTTGGACAAGCCAGTCAAGCAAGTGCTTGGACTGATTATCCCTGAGGGATGTTCAATTGAAAAAAATGGAAAGAAAATGCAATGTATATTTAATATTTATTATGACACTGAAGGACCTCCCTTCACCATTCAGAGTGCGCTTTTAGCCCCTCTAAATCATAAATTAAGACCACAATCAAAATTGAAACCATTTCATATGAGAGCCATGACCATGAGAATTTTTTTTTAAAAAAACAACCAAAAATTGAGGTCTTAGAGGTGTAAATGAAATTCTGGGAGGGTTGTGAATTTTGATGTAAGTTCATCCACTCAAACCTGATCATCAAGTGGCCTGATAATATGATAACCATTTGAGCTGCCTAGCAGTACTTTTCACCATATAATTGATCACAAGTTTAAAAGCTAATGAACAACAAGCTTTGAGGAGATGTATAAGTTAGTATCTTAAGGATACGACTTATAGAAAACAGCAACGATGAGAACCAACCTTTGAATAGATGTATAAGTTAGTATCTTAAGGATACGACTTATAGAAAACAGCAACGATGAGAACCAACCTGAACACGATGAGAACAAAGAAGGTTAAAATCTTGAACAACAATAACATGAAGAGAAAGAAATACGAACCTGAGTAACGATGTTGTTGGTTAGTGAGTTGTTAATCAGAAACAATTTAGTTGATTGAAGAAAGAACCAATACAATAAAGTGAGGAATCTTGTACACAATCAACTAGGTTTCAAACAACTGTGGCGCGCTGCTAAATAAAAGAATGCATAACTTAAACTAAGAGAAAGTGATAAAGTGAACTATTATTAAGTTCAATACCCCCCCCGCCTTCTCAGTTTTCAGTTTCAATGAATTGTTGAAGATTGAACTTGAGATATTGAAGGAATTTTTGATGACGTGGATTCGGAAGAGATTTCGTAAGACCATCCGCTTGATTATCGACGGTTGAGATATAATGAATTTTGACTTGATTGCTTTCCACAGCCTCTCTCACAAAGTGATACTTGACATGTATATGCTTTGTGCGTTGCTGAAAAAGAGGATTCTTGGAAAGAGCGATTGCTGCTTGATTGTCGCAGTAAATTGGGATCGGTTAAACGTCTTGCCCGAGTGAAGCCAGCAGAGATTGCATAGAAATGGCTTCTTGCACTCCATCGTACAAAGCCCTGTACTCGGATTCCGTTGTTGAACTCAAGACCGTACTTTGCTTCTTAGCCCTCCAGGAAATCACCGAATCGCCGTACTTAACCAAGTAAGCAGAGTAAGATTGACGAGTGTTGACACAAGAAGCAAAATCGGTGTCAACATAAATAGAAACCCGATTATCGCCACCACCAATCTTAATGGAAAAATTGATGGTTTTGGATAAATAACGAAGCAAATGAACAAACGCTTGCAATGCTTCATACCCGGATTTTCAAGATGTTGAGAGAGTTGAGACACCGCAAAAGCGATATCAGGTCGCGTCGCCACAGCCGCCCAGTTGACCAAGCCTATCGCCCTCCTGTAACTGATGTTGAGAGCCGTGAATTCGTCCCTTTCCTCCTGAGTAGCAATTTCCAAACGAGTATTCGGAACCATTGGCGTGGGAACAGGACGGCAGTTGGTGAAGTTGAATTCATTGAGTATCTTGGTGATGTAATTCGATTGAGACAAGGTCAAATGATAGGCCACTCGAGTTATAATTCATACCCAAGAGCGAACTGATCGGACCCAAGTCTTCCATCAAGAATTTATCCTTAATTAAAGTCTTGAATTTATCGACATTTTGAGAGATTATGACAAGATTGTCAACATAAACATGAACCAAACAGAACCAGTTCGGATCCGCCGATTTGAAGAGACAAGGATCGTTTGGGGAAGGGAAGAAATTGATGGAAGCAAAGAAAGCTTGCAGCTCGCGGTACCAAACCCGAGGAGCTTGTTTCAAACCATAAATCGATTTGACTAGACAAAGACAGGTACCGGGTGGAGCATCAAAACCTTGAGGAATTCGAAGATATACCGTTTCTTCTAAAGTGCCATTTAAGAAGGCATTTTTGACATCCATTTGATGAATATCGAGATTGTTATTGACCCCATAAGTCAATACCAAACGTAATGCCGACACACAACCAGTCGGAGCGTAGGTTTCAGTTTAGTCGATTCCATCACGTTGTGCACTTCCCTGAGCACAGAGTCTTGCTTTGAATTTGACGAATTCTCCAGCCGTGTTGAATTTCACACGAAAGACCCAGACCAATCCAAGAAGAACCTGATCAAGAGGAATTGGCACAACATTCCATACTTGTAAACGATCCATCGCTGAGAGTTCTGTTTTGATTGCTTCAGTCCACTCGGCTGATTGAGAAGAGTTAATGGCCGCTTTGTAAGTTTTTGGTACAGTGGCAGCTTCCAGAATTGAGGAGTAACAAAGACTTTTGTTGAAAAAAGGTACAAACCACGGTTTGTCGGTCAGCTCTTGATTCACTAGATGTGCACGTCTTTTGGAAGTGAGAATGTTATCGGTGTCAATGTCCGATGAGATACTTTTGGGTGCAGGTTGATCTTTAGGAACGTAAGAGTAACCCGGCTTTGAAAAAGAAGGTAAAGTCGGTAGAGGAGTAGTTGAGGTAGGAGAATCTTGAGGAGAAGGAAGATCAATCGTTGGATTTTCATCAACTACCGGTGTCAAAGACAACTCAAGTGGTGAGACTGCCGCAGCAGGCACAGACGATGACGTAGGTGATTCATCATTATTTACAATAATGACTTCATCTTCACATAAATTATAGACAGGGTCACTCGGGGAGATTCCTGGAAAAGTAGACTCATGGAAAGTTACATCATGGCTATACTCAACCCAAGTACCCGCCGTAAGTATTCTCCAGTTTGGAATACCCAGTCTATAACCAACCAAGATACCTTCCCTAGAAGTGTTACTAAATTTACCCACCCTATTATCTCCCGGAATGTTGATAAATGCTCGACAACCGAAAACCCTCAATCTAGAGTAATCGAATTTTGAACCAAACCATATTTCATGTGGAGTTTGCCAGCGAATCTTCTTTGTCGGAGTGATGTTTTTGTACAAGACAGCCGTAGCAACAGCCTCTCCCCAAAAATGAACAGAAAGGCCTGCCTCCTTGAGCAAAGACCTGGCTTTTTCACTAGTCGTTTGATTACCCCGCTCGGCAATTGAGTTTTGCTGAGGAGTATAGGGAGCAGTGATATGATGAATGACGCCTTTATCCTTCAAATATGATTCAAACTCCTTTGAACAGAATTCGCCTCCACCATCCGTCACCAAATTGACCAAAGATTTAGAGTGAAAAGAAGTTACTTCGTTGTAATATTCTTTAAATTTTTCTAGAGCTTGATTTTTAGCAGAAATAATATACACATGTTTGAAATCGGAGAAAGCGTCGGTTATTTTGAAATAATAAGATGCTTTTCCAAGTGTTTGAGGAGTGATTTTTCCACTGAGATCCATGAAAACATAATCCAAAACACGTTTTGGTTTGGGGAGATGACTGGAAAAAGGTAGGCGATGTGATTTCAAGAGAATACATGAAACGCAATCCAGAGTTGAATAAGAAGCTCCAAACATTTTTGCTAATGCTTCTCGACTAGGATGACCAGCCTGTTTATGAAGAAGCGCTGAATCAGTTTGAGTTGTTTTGAAGGATGTTGAGCATGAACTAGACGGACCTTGAGGTTGCACGGTTTTTGCTTTACAAACATAGATGTTGCTTGATATTTCAGCATCAAAAAGTTTCACGTTTTTAGCAGAATCGTTGACAAAGAATTGAGTGTGAGAATTTTTGTGTCGGAGAAGATCACAATCGTTCAGCGAAAGACGAGCCAGGCTAAGAAGTGAATGCGTAAGACCAGGCACATGCAAAGCTTTGACGCTGAAGGTAACTCCATCATTATTCTTGATGTGAATGAGGCCCTTTCCTTGTATGTTCAAAGACTGACCGCTAGCAACGCTGACAGAAGATTTGACCGATTTGTAGTCAACAAAGTTTCGTTTATCCAGAAACATGTGATCTGAACAACAGCTGTCAAGAAAAATCAAGGAAGCGTTTTGAACTATCGAGAGGGCTTGAGCATCAGAGACGCAAACGTAGACACCACTGATATTCTCCGAGGATACAACAGCATTCGCTTTCTTCTTCCCGGAGTTAGATTTGCGATTTTTGTAGGAATTGGGAGCCTTTTCAGGATGAAGTTGGTAACAGTTGGTTCTACTGTGATGAGCCAACTCGTTATGTTGTCCATTCTCGCAGTATGCATTGATCGTCTTCATTGCCGATTCTGTCTTGACATGAGAAGAATCGATTGAGTTCGATGGAATACCAGTTGTACTCAATTGTTTTGAATTAAGATATTCTCTGGTTAATTCTAGATCAAGAGGAAGTTTGGTGAAGATAATTTCCTTTGAATTTTCCATGCTTTGAGGTAAGAGATTGACCACGTATTTGGCAAGGAGTTTTTCATCCAAAGTGCTCTTCTCGAACTTGACAATCTTGATTCCGACCGAACAAAGATTTGATATTCTGACATCTATATCCTTGATGAATTGTTCTAAAGTAGAATTGAATTTGATTTTCAAGAAGTCTTGATAAACGACCACTTGATTTTGAGAAGAGTCGGATTGAAAATGTTGAAGTAAAGCCGACCAGATTAGATGGGGCTCTCTGACATTTTTGTTGGTAATGAATTTAGCATAGTTTTGCAAGCCTAGATTACCACCAAGGATTCCGGCTGCATTTGCTTTGTTATCTTCTAAGGCCGCTTTTGCTACAGCATCTTTCTCGCCAAGAACAAGATCGGAAAGTAGATGGGCATTGACTTGTTGTCTGAGACAGAATGAAAACATGACATTCTTCCAGTTCTGAAAGTTGACCTTTGTTAGAAGTGGAAGATGGCTGATAGTTGTTTTGTCTGTCATTCGTTCCTTCTGATGGACGAGGTACATGTACCTTGTCCAGCGGAAGGAAACCCTTCCTCTGGACTGTACACCGCTCGCCGGGGGGGGGGGGGGGGGTTCCTCCCGGCGGTGTGACCTTGGCCTCTCTAGGCCAAGGAGGAAAAAAAAGAAAAAAAAAGGAAAAATGGGGCCGTCCCATAGGACCCATGCCTGGGTCCTATGGGACGGCCCAGGTCCTAAACGCATATAAATATGTGTTTAGGACCTAAAGTTGGGCGTGCACGCAGGCACGCCAACCTGCAGGGTATACCCCTGCAGGCGGATGGCTTGCCTGCCTGCACGCCATTCTGCAATGGCGTGCAGGCACGCACGCCAATCTGCAGCTGGCGTGCGCGTGGGGGGTTGGCTTGCGGTTATCAACCCCCGTGCAACAGAGACAATACAAGACAGTATCAGGTGTTTATTTGTATTGTCTCAGAATTTGAATACCCAAAAATACTGGATTTGTGTTGTCTCACTTTCCTGAGACAATACACATGTATCGTCTTTGAAAAGTGAGACAAGTATTCTGTATTGTCTCAGATGACTGATCCCACCAAAACCGTATTTGATACACAAGATATTTGGCTATATTGAAGAAAAAAGAAAAAAAAGACAATTTTTTTCATTTGTAAATCCAAATCTGAGACAATAAATTTTTGAACCAACCAAGAAAATACTGATACTGGTATCAGGCTCAAAATAAAGACGATAGGATCCGATACAAATACATGTCTCATATCTGTTGCACCGTTGCTCCTGGGTTAGAACTCACTGGAAATTCTTTGTATGGTATTTTGGAAGTGGTGTCCAGACAAGCAGGGCACATGCTAGAGTTGGCAAGGCTCCAAGACTACTCAAGCTGAAGAACAGGCAGGTGTCATCACTGCCTGTCAAGGAAGGATTACAGAAATCTGGATAAACAAACTTATTGTAACCTACCAAATTGTTGTTGAGTTTGGAATGATATTACTTCCTGAAGAGACCAAAATGGTCCAGATGGACTCTCAATGACCACCAGGACTTGAAGACTCTCACAGAAGGACTGGATTGCATATATGCAATGATCAGAATCAGCTTGAAAGCTAATAGGATCAATGGCAAAGGCAGCACTGCTGTACATGCAAATAAAACTTGGGCCACCTGAGAAGCATAATTGCACTGTGAGAAATCCTTGGGTAATTCCAGGAAATGGCAAAGAAATGTTTTCAGGGAGACCCCACGCAAGAGCTGATCCAGAATATACACAGATAGCACTGAGACACATGTCAGATAGTAACCAAATGTTAATACTCTGCTAGAAATAGATGCTAAACTTCTTCGAGAGATACACAGTCTTCAAATCAAGCTGATTGTTTCAAACAAATGTTGATCTTGTGTGACTGTTTGAAGGCTGAGAGAGAATCTTTTGAGTATCTGGTCCTGTTGTTATTTCATGTCAACAGTTTTGAAATCAACCTAGAGAGGTCCCACAAGAGTACCCTTGAAAAAAATAAACCCATTGACTCTTTCAATCGCAAGCTTGATCCAATTGGATAGCGTTGTTTGACTACCAGTTGAGTTCTTGTTCGCTAGTGATGCAAGTTGATCGATCAACAGTAGCCGCCGTTTCTGTTGGAACTAGTACAGATTGATCTTAGAAGTGTTAAGATTTCAGAGGGCGAATCGGCACCACAGCTTTCGACTATGTCAAGTAGATCATTGTCGACAGTCCAACGAAACAAAGTAGAGATGCATCTCTGTTCCTCGAGAGGGTGGTTAGAGAAGCTGTAGTTGCCCGAGGTGAAATGGGTATGGGAAGCAAACACGAAGCTAAGGGTATGATTAATCTCCCTCTCCCAGATGTCGAGGTTGGATCCATCGTAGGCTAGCTTGGTCTTTCGAGGGTTATATTCGTGATGAAGTCCGCGAGGTGATTTGAGGAAAAGTCGTATGACCCATTCTCTTCGGGAGACCACTTGTGACTGTTGAGCTGCATTCTGGAGCTGAGCAAGCGTGTTCTGCATTTCGACAATTTGCCCTTGGAGGGCACGTAAATCTTCTTGTGTCGGTCGTCCAGCCATGATAACGTAGATTACAATTTCTGATACGTAACCCCGGCCTAGCTAGTCTGCAGCGGTTTTTTGAAACTAACTGCTTCTCTGACTAAGTCCAATGATCTTTCCTCGTATTCGAGCCCGATAGTCTGATGGCGTAGTCCAGAGCTAGCAATCCACCCGTAAAGAATTGAGTCAATCTGATCATGGAGGAGGCGTTGCGGCGGGTCAGCACATGTGTCTTATACGCTTCGAGCTGGATCTGATTGTCACTGACCTGACGATAGAGTGTTGGAGAGGGATGGTGAGTCAGCACGGGTCCGGGGTGGGGAGGCGGGGAACACCATAATGCAATCTATCTGCAGGTTAAAGGTAAGTTAAGGGTAGAGTCAAGTTTAAGTTGTCAGAGCGGTGGACCCTGGAGGCCCTGGTGCGCCGGGCATGGGCTACATGCATACATAGCTCAGCTCAAGTCAATAATCCCATGGTGTCATGATCAGCCCGCATACACTCTGCACCGCCTCGAGCTGCAAAAAGTATTTAAGATCTCACTTGCATCCATCCGGCTCCCCATCCACCTCACCATCTGTTCCAACTTGCCCCTCTTTATTATAACTCTCTCCAAGCGATCCCTGCCATCAAGGAATTTTAATTAACCAATATTACCCACCCGATGTCCGGCTATTCAACCCAGAACTACAATGAACAACCACTACCAGTTGGCTGGATCAAGGAATGGGATAGTAACCATAACGCTTGGTATTTCGTGTAAGAACCCTCCCCCTTTTGTTTTAACTCTCTGAGTATCTTCTCAAACTGATATTCACGTCTGCTATTCTTCCCCAGTGATACCCGTCAAAATCCGCCACTGATCACCTGGAATGATCCACGTCATTCCGCTCCACCACCACAAGGACCACCTCCAGCCGCAGGTGGTGATCGTGGGTTGATGGGATCACTTGGCTCGATGATCTCAGGAAAACCACCCAAGAACCCAAACAATTCGTACTCTCAAAACCCTCATGGCCCTTACAATAATCAGTCGGCCTACCAAGCTCCCATTCAACAATACACCCCCGGCGGAGAAGCCAGCTCGTATTACAACCAACCCGCCCCTCCAGCCAACTACCACCAAGCTCCACCACCACCACCAAACAATGGTACCAAACCGGGAGGTGGAGGGGGCTTAGGGAGTCTGTTATCGAAGATCCCAGGCGGTGCTGGTGGTAGTGGTGGTAATGGAGGGGGAGGTGCCGGAGCGATGTTATCGAAGATACCTGGAATGCTCGGCGGTGGGGGTAGTTCCTCAGGCGGCGGCGGTGGTGGTGGGGCAGGGGGCAAGACCAACCCCCTGCTTGCCGGCGCAGGTGGAGCGGCGGCGGCCGCACTGGCCGGAAAACTCCTCGGCGGAGGCCACAAAAATTCCCATCATGGCGGCGGCCATTCCGGAGGCCATCACGGTGGTGGACTGATGTCCATGATCCCTGGCCAACACCACGGTCATCATCACGGCCATCATCACGGTCATCATCACGGCCATCATCACGGTATGCTTCACCACCTAAGTCATCATTTCCATCATGGACATCATCATCATCATCATCATCACCATCACTAGATCTTCTGATCAAGAGCAAAATCAAAACCTGCATGACCAACGCACACATCCAAACTGACCATATCCAAAAACCTGTGAACCCCACTTCTTTCCTTCCTTTTCATAAAAATTCGTTTTGAAAACACGCACGACGATACGACTCCCAACCTACACACGTCTTTTGTTTAATCGACTCGGTACCGATTGTTTGTTATGATTGTTCTTTTCTATGAATCGCAGAATGATCGTCCCCTCTTTTGCATCTTGTAAGACCTTACTTCATCTGTGTAAACCTTCCCCCTCGCAATCGTCGTCTGCTTTGTATGTCTGGCGGTATGTACGCCATGGATCTTCCACCAAATGTCTCCATAATAGCTCTAGATGTCTTTTTCTTTTCTTGGAATCATGGAATACTCTCCCCCCTCTCTTTGATCTGCAGTTTTCAATCGTATGAATCCACATCCTCCAAATCTGATCGGATGAGCAGAGAACGGTCAAGCTAACGAGAAATGCTGTTCGTTGTGAGGCTTACTATTACTAAAGAGAGAGGAACTGCACATGCAGTCCCCCCCCCCCACAAACACAGCTTGCCCCGTGTTTTTTTTCCATGGTTACAGATGTGTGCCAAGACTGGATGCAGAACGGGCGAATTGTTGGTAGAGAGAACGGACGGAGTGCTCTCACTGTGGCGCGACGGTCATATACTGTCGGCTTTGTTCATCAACAAACCGAGTATATAAAAGAAGCATCGAGAGCCGGGCACTTCCTTCAGCTCACCCCCGCCTCTCTTAATCCGCCAAACACAAAAAAAAACAAGAAGACCGAAGAAACTGAGAGACATTGTTCAATGAAGCCACCCTCGAAGCCCATCTTGTTGGCCGTCCTGCTCTCGACGCCCGCGAAGCATGTGAGGAGTTTTACGTGCGGGAATCGGGAGCAACCGGTTGGCGGCTGTGCCCAAGAGACCAAGGACTCTCAGTGTGGGGTACGTTCGGTCTCTGCTTTCTCTCTCTCTCTAGTGATCCGATATTGGATCCTTTGTGAACAGTCTCTTTGGCCGCTTCATCCGCTTACATCTTGTCATCCTTTTTCTTTTTTTGTTTTTTCGACTGGTCTGTCTAGTCGTCCTCGCGAAGACCATGCCCGGCGACTTCACTTACGATTGCAGCTTCGCTGCGACCCCGTCCCCGACGCTCCCGCCACCCTCAAAACGTTCATGGCTTGCTTGTTGCAAACCACAAGCTCATTGCCGACTCAGCCGGTATTCTTGTAGATCTTTTTTTTTTTCCGCCATTTTTCTGGAATCTGATGTCCGTTTTTTTTATGGTTGGGAAAAGTGGTACTGTGTCGAAGATGGCCGGCCGACCCGCCTTCGATTCGCGCGGCACTTCCTTCTATCCCCTCAACTGCACCCAGCCCATCATTCCTGCCCACTCACAACAACATGCACACAAAGCGCGTGATTTTCTGGCCAGATCAACTCCCAATCACCACAAACACACACAAATTCCAAATTCCAAATTCCTTTTTTTTCATGTTGATCTTATAATGATGTATAATCTCATTAAGGATTTTGTGGTGGTGTTTAATTTTGTTTTAGACTTATATTGGGCTAAACCATTGATTGTCAATTGTTCTTATTTTCAAAAAAAGGGGGGGGGGGTTTTGTCTCTCTTGAAAGAGATTCAACCAATGTTTGGTTTTGTGGTGATCAGTTAATTGTACTCCATAGTTGAGGACATTGCTAGGATGTATCTGAGATTGCTAATTGGGGCTTTGGCCAACATATTCACAAGTAAGGCAACAATTATAATTTTTTTAAAATTTTGTTTTGATATGTTTTTGTTATTATTCTGTTAACCAAAAAAACAATCTCGAAAACATGGGGGGAAAAAGAAATCAAAATCTGCTTCTGTGATATCATTACAGTCCTTATGGGATTCACTACACCCCTTATGGGCTGTATCCTGCTGTACGGCCAATATACAAAATACAGACAGTGCTCCGACAGATCTCAAATGCAGATATAATGCAATAAACTGGCTGGTTGAGTTTATAATTGCATCATGTTTGAACTTTTTTTTTTTTGGTATCTTTTTGAATTTCATTTCCTCTTAAATAAATAAAACAAATCACTCTCAAAAACAGATCAGACCAATTACAAAAAACGTCCAAAAACCCGTTTATAATTGCTGCCCAAGTGTTTGTTGAAAGCATGCTCCTCCATGAACGGCTGATTAGAATGGGCTGCAGTCATCTACTTGCTTTCCCTGGTTTTTTTTTTTTTTTTCCAAACCAAAATGATTGTGAAAGTTTCCTGCAATGATCATCACCGCAAACAAAACCACCATCACATCAAAGCAACCTGTGTGGATCATCTTCATGATTTCAGTACGGATGCGTTGCTTGGTCCACTTTCAATCATCCAATGATACACCCAATGCTGGTTTTTTGTTGTTGTTGTTGTTGATATGAAACCTGTTAAGATGAGTTTGTTCTTGGTACATGATCAGTGGGAATATGTGCATCACATCCACACTGTCCTTAAACCTGTCTCAATTATATCTCTGCTAGATATTTCTACATATTCTTTGGTTATGGTATCAAGAAAAAGATGAAAAAAATTGTTGATACAGCAAAAGGAATGAATGAATGTATGTACATACTGATTTGGAGGTTTGATTGATGAATTTGATTATTTGTAGCCAAGCAGGCTGGAGCACACAAGATGATGTAAGTCTATGAACAAGGGGAGGATTAAGTAGCAGTTAAGTAGGTGCTCAAGGCATAGTTAAATGTCAGTATTGGCACCAGGACAGACGACGGGGGTGTTGTACTGATGGGCAGCCCGGCAGCGGCCCCTGTTGTTGATCTGATGGCCACAGTGGGTGTTGATGGAGAATGCTTCGGTGGTCCGTCGACAGGTGTGGTTGTGGGACTCCCAGCAGGTGTATTGGACCCCGCATTCCCGGCCGGATTGGCCAGCATCGAGCTTATACCATGTCTCGTAGAATTCACAGCCCCCGTTCTCGTCACAGGGGCCCCGCTTGATGGCCTCGACAGAAGTTGGTTGGAGGATCAAGTTGGCGAGCAGGGCGCAAGTGATGAAGAGGGATCGATACATATCTAACTAATGAGTGTGGGTATGATGAAGCAGATGGAGTTCGAACGTAGGTTGTAGGTTGTTGTTGATGTTTGAAGTTGGAAGGGGTGCTTCTTGCCGAGTAGTTTGTCCACGATGTGGATGAGTGGGTGTTGGGTGTTTGGAGTGAATTATGTTTGATCGGCTGAAGCGGGGGTCCGACCAGCCGAGAGGGCGGGGCTCGGCTGGGTTGAGAGTTGAGGCCGGGTGGCCGGAGCAAGAACAACAGCTGCTGCAGGCTGCTGCTCACAAAAAAATGAAAGAACTACTCGAACAACTCAGCCAACTGACCATCAAACTATTCATCCTCACCTGGTACTCCCCACTCTCCAACTCACCCACCCCCAAACTACACCAGCCATTCATCAGACACATCAACACTATCATCACCACCAGCAAGCTCAGCTGCCAGACAGACACCATCATCAGCCTACTCCTACTCCAACTACCACTCACCCTCAACAGACATCTAGAATACATCCAAACCATCCAAGCACTAACAACAACCGAACAACATGACTTCAACACCCTCTTCATCCAGCTCCATCCACATCCAGCACTCATCAAAACCACTACTACCATCGCAGTCTCACCCAGCTATCTACGACTGCTCATCGAAGCCATCCTCAAGATCCTCCTGCCCAAGAACGACTACGACTCCGAGCCAGAACGACTGATCATCAGGGAGACCATCCTCAACCAGCTCCTCCTGCCGCTCTTCACCATCCTCAGCCAACCCAGCCAGATCCATCGCCTCCTGCTCACCAACCTATTATCATCTTCCCCAAGAACTCAGCCTGCTGCCCCTCCGCCGCCTCCCCCACAGCATTCACATGGCTTCCTCACCCCGATCATCCTCCTCCTCAACTCGCTCGGCTCGCTCCTCCTCCATCTCTCCACCCTCCTCGGCTCCTTCATCCTCCTCCTCTCCTCCCCCCCGCCCATCCCTCTCAACCACCAGCTCCTCAATAACAACCTCCTCTTCCTGCCGCTCCTCGACTTGTCCTTCTCCCTCCTCGGAAAACCCGGCCATCTGGCCCAACTCTTTTGGCTCCTCAAGATCTTCGCACGGCTCTTCCATCGGCTCTTACTCAAGTACTTCCCCTTTTTCAAAAAAAAAAATGGTTGATTGGTTCTGACTCTGATTTTGGGTTTGGTTGTGTGTGTGTGTGTTGTACATAGGATCGCAGTACGGGTGTTGTACGACCATCTCTTGAGTCCCTCGGCGACCACCAAGCACCTGCAAGCCGTCCTGGCGCTGCTGCACTCGCTCGACCAAAGCCCAGCCGCGCCGTCCTCCTCCTCCTCAGAAGCAGGACGGACGGAGAGCTGGACGGACGACGAGAGCCAAGCGAAGCTCGAGGAGCTGCTGGCCTCCTACCTCTCCTCGCCGCTCTTCTTCTACCTCATCCATCCTCACCCTCCAATCCTAAGCAACAATATCGACCCACAGGAGCAAGAGGAGCTGATCAAGCGACGCTTCGTTCGGCAAACCCTCCTCCGAACCCTCAACTCCCCCGTCGCCAACCAAGCCCTCCTGTTGGAGCTCCTCGACCTCTTCTCGGTCTCCCTCTTTCCCCAGATCATCGAGCCTACCCCTCCTTCTCCTCCTCCTCCTTCTTCTTCCTCCCCCGCTTCGCCTGCTTCTTCTTCTCCTCCTCCGATTATTCATTAGACTCTTGTTTTCTTTCTGATTGTCTTCACTTATTTTGACTATATACATGCAAAGTACATAATTCTGTACTTTTATTGATTCTGTGGCTGATATCCAGCCCATCCATGTCTTTCACACATGTACATATACATACACACATCAACTTGTTAATTAGTTTCCCAAACCCCCCTCGGGCAATCACGAACCCCGGTTGATTTTCCAAAAGGGGGAAAAAAGGGGGTATTTGAAGTGGTTGATTTATTGGAACATTGCACATGAGAGAGAAGAGAAGAAGCGGATTATGGAGGATATGTGATCGGGATGGATTCGGATGGGGATCTCATGATTGTATATGGATGGCGAAGGTAGCCGGGATGAGAGGAACACAGAAGATGGGGGAGGTGGATTAGGACAAAGAGAACGCAAAAAAAAAACTGCACAAAAGAAAAGGAAAGGAAAGGGAAAAAAATCTTGGATCGAAAGAGAAAGAGAAAGAGAGAGAGGAGAAGAGGGAGTTGAGTTGAGTTGAGTGGTACTACGTTGGAGATGGATCAAGAAGGAATGGAAAGGAGAGACAAGCTCGCTGGACGTGGTTGCAAGCCTGACGATAGACTCTTCGCGGTGGGCCGGACTGGATTGTTGATGCAGGAGCGCGGTCGATCGGAGCAGAGAAACGGCAAGACGAAGGCATAGTTTTCATGGTATCTTGATTGCAGCGATTGATATAAGATTCTAATGATTAAGGATCGATGACAGAAGGAGTAGAAGTAGGAGGAGGAGGAGCGAGAGAAGGCGCGAGATTCTTGGGATCGTCTCTGGGAATGAAGCCCTGTTCGAGCATCCGCTTGAGTCTGCGGACCTCCTCGACCGAGGTAGCCTGCTCGATCGCCCGTTTGATCCGCTCCCGTTCCGGCGCCGTCAGTGTCCGGCCGGCTTGGCCAGGCTCGATCTTCGGCTTGCTTCCCAGCTCGATCGTGCTCTCTTCTTCTCCTCCTGTTGTTGTTTCTCCCTCCACGCTCTCGACTATCGATAAGGCCGCCGCAAGCCCCGTGGGCCCTTTGGTCATTGGATCATAGAATAACTCGCGGGATGTCTTTCGTTCCTGTATAAATCAACAGAAACAAGCTCGATGAGGGGTTTTTTTTGTTTCCAGATAGTTTGCATTCCCTAAAACTTGATCTTCATTTTTTTTTTGTTGGTTAGTTGGAAGTAAGATGGGAGAGACTGAACTTTATCCTTGACTCTTTTGAAGTCCAAGACCCTGAGTTTGAGACAATTAAAGATACACCAATCGCGATAGAGCTTATGGGACGCGACGGGGTTGTCGGCCAAGACCAAGAACTCGAGTCGCGTGAAGGCCTTCAAGATGCCGACCAACTGGCTGAAGTTGTTGAGCTTGCAGTTACTCAACACCAGGGAGCTCAGGTTGGGCAGCGCTTCGGGCAGCTTGGGCGAGACGAAGCTGAGCGGATTGTTGGATAGATACAAGTGTTTGAGCCGGCTCATCTTGGGGAAATTGATCAACGAGCGGATCGAATTGTCCGTCAGATCGATGGTATCCAGGGAGTCCTATATATTTCGTGTCGTGTCGTGTTTTTTTTTTTTTTTTTTTTTTTTTCAGTCAGATTTGTGGGTCAAAAAAAAAAACACCCATGAGATGATGATGATGATGATGGGCTGAGACGGACTTTAGTCACTCCGAGGTTTTCGATCGCCGGGATCTGGTATCCGCGCAGGTCGAGTTCCCGGTCGGCGAGCGGATTGAGGTAGGAGTGCGAGGAGAGCAACAGCTCGGGCGACATTCGAGGCATCTTGATGAAAGTTTTTTTTTAGGATCCTTCCTTTTTTTTGGTTTTGGGTTGGTTTGGTTTGGTTTGGTTTGGGTGGTGGATGGCGATCACTCTGGATTCTGGAAATTGGGAGTTGTCTCAATTACGCTGACTTAAGCCGCAGTCTTCCGCCCGCAGCTATGGAGCACCACCACCCGGCGCGACCTGTTGCACGAGGAGAAGTCCTTCCAAATCAATTCAAGAATCCCCAAAAGTACTTAAATAGTCTACTGAATATTTGTACTACACAATAATCATGTATGGAGATAAATAGAGCCTAAAGTTGGTTGTTCAATTGATTGCTTTTGGCTAACCAACAGCAGGTCTCACCAAAAAAAAAAAAAAACTAAATAGCCACTTGGGATTGATTGGTTGGCTGAATTTTCGATGATCATAGTCAGAGCCTCGGAGGAGGTGATTGTGTACCATTGTTTTGGAGGATGCATGTTGTTTGAGATGAAAATTGTGAGAATTGGGTGTTGTGGCATCTGCCCAGATTTACATAGTAGCAATGAGATCACCAGGGTTCTTGCAGTTCGTCGCGGGTGGCTCAATCCGGATTCCGGGCCAGGGTTCATGGTGGAGGAGCCAAGTAATTGCCTTTTTTCCTTGTTGAACATCCACAACACAACCAAAAAACGAAAAAAACCATTACCATCAAGCCTTCACAAGAATCCAATCATCAATCCTGATTTCCTCAAGAGCTCTCTCTCGACTTGCCATCCTCCGCAACTCTCCGAATCATCCCCACTTCCGCGTTTCCGCTGGGACGACTTGCAGAGCAGGATTAGATATCCCGGGTTTCAGCAAGACTTGGACTCGGATCCCAGCCATTCGAAAGATGACGACCCCCAAGAAACGTGCGATTCCTGATCATGATGATGATGATCAAGCCAGCAACCAACGTCCGAGCAAAAGGAGTCAAACGACAGCTGGGACTAATCGTGGTAGTACCACCACAGCTTCTCAAGATCAGTCATCAGAGACACCCTACCATAAACTACTCAGGATCTTAAACGACCACCAACCGAAAGAAAAAGAGGATGATCAGAAAGCTGAAGGGGTCGTAGTCTGGTGGATGCGGATGCGCGATCTGAGGCTGTCGGATAATCGGGCATTGGCAGTCGCGTCCCAATTGGCAAAGGACCAAGCCAAACATCTCGTCGTCCTCCACGTCCTCTCGCCTGGAGACTATCGATCTCACGACCGCTCCCCTCGGAGAATCGACTTCGTCCTCCGCAATCTCAGCGACCTTCAGGCGCGTCTTCATAAACTTAACATCCCGCTCTGGACGATCACCGTCGAACCCCGTCATCAGATCCCTGAAAAGATCATCCAACTGGTCTCCAGCTGGGGCGCCTCTTATCTGACCGCCAATATCGAACATGAAGTCGGTTTATGATCAATCCCCCTCCCCCATCTTGCACTGGATCTTGACCTCTCCTTACGTTTACCACATAGGTTGACGAACTCAGACGCGATATCCAAGTCCTCAATCTGGCGCGCGAGAAGAATATCGGGGTAGACTTCCTACACGATACATGTCTGGTAGAGCCGGGAAAAGTGTTGACCAAAGAAAACAAACCGTACTCGGTCTTCGGTCCAGTACGTCTCTCTTTTTTTCTCCCCCGTCTATGTAGTCTCCTTTCTTACTCAGATCAAAACACACACAAAAGAAAAAAGGAGAACAAGAAATTAAACATATTCTACCCCTTGACCTCGATTGAATCAAGTGGCAACGAAATTGGGCCAACTTGATCAACAGTAACTTGGACGAATACATTGCAGCTGCGGAGGATTGTCATCCTAACGACCCGAGCATCAAGGACGTTGAGATCCTCAATCAGTTGTTCGAGTGCCCCGTCCCTGCCTCTTTGCCTGGCTTCGAATTGTCTGCTGAGGACTCGAAGATCATGCACGAGAACTGGAAAGCCGGCGAACAGGCTGCTGAAGAGGTAAATCTTGCAATTATCTCTCTCACTCAAAAAAAAAAAAAAAAAAAAAAAAAAAAAAAAAAAAAAACCGACAAAGCGAACAAAACGAACAAAAAGGCTAAAAGATTTTTATAATTCTATCAGTTATTGAATCAATTTCTGAATTCGCCCTTAAAAAGCCAATCGACTCGACAAACCACATTAACGAAGGATGGGAAAACCTCAGGGGCGACGACGAGGAGGGCCGAGACGATAGTCGAGCAATACTCGAGCTTACGAAACCGACCGGACCTACCGGGGACGAGCCGATTGTCGGCCTATCTGGCCGCCGGAGTGATCTCCCCACGCGCATGCATTCGGGCCTCATTCCGAATCAGCGAGAAGGGGAAGAAGCCGGTCGATGGGCTCCAGGTGGATCGTCGTGACTTGGGCGTGGGGGTGTGGCAGAGTGAACTCGGGTGGAGAGACTTCTATCAACACGTCAGTCATTCATCCCCACCCACCCTTCACTCTTTCTTTATTCTTCTCTAGATGAACGATCCAATGGACTTTTTTGGGTAACCGATGACTGTGGATTTATTTCTGTTCTCATCTTCAGGTCTTGGCGGCGTGGCCTAGGGTCTGTATGCGAAAGCCCTTCAATCTTAAGTATGAGAGTCTGGTGTGGGAAGAGGATGAGGGGCTGTTGGAGAAATGGAAGCAAGGCTTGACGGGCTATCCGTTCATTGATGCCTGCATGAGACAGCTCAAACACATCGGTTATATGCATAATCGGGGCAGGATGTGTGTGGCCATGTTCTTGACTAAAGATCGTATGTCTCTTATCAACTCCCTCTTGCACTCTTCTTTCCTTCAATTTTCTGATCGCTCTTTCTTTCGTCCATGTTTTTTCGTGCTCTTTGTTTTTTTCGATCGGGGGTTGGTTCGGGGCCTCCGTGATAGTGATGATGGATTGGAAGTTGGGCGAGAAATGGTTCATGGAGAATTTAGTCGATGGGGATTTAGGCAGCAAGTAAGTCATTCATATCCTCTCAACGAAACAAAAGAAAAAACCCCTTCTCATTCGAAGATAATGTGCCGAGATTTACGGTGGTTAGAAGAGACACCAAGTGTTGCAAGGTGTTGAACCAAAACTTGGCCTTCTCTTTTTCAGTAATGGCGGCTGGCAATGGTCGGCTTCAACCGGCACAGATGCTCAGCCGTACTTCCGGATCTTTGCGCCGCTTTCACAATCCGAGAAGTCGGATCCGAATGGCGATTTCATTCGTCATTGGGTTCCTGAATTGAAATCGATCACCGGAAAAAGTAAGCCCTCCACTTCCGTTTCTTTTTTTTTTTTGTTGTCTCTAAATAAATCACTTGGACTGGATCATGCTGTGTGTGTGTGGTGAATTGAATGCTCTTGGTTCGACTTTTTTTCTTTGTCCGGGAATCGTCGGGAAAAAAAAGACATTCATGCCCCGTTCGACTCTTTGCCGCCTGACAAATTCAAAAAATTGAACTATCCTAAGCCCATCGTCGATCATTCGGTGGCCCGAAAACGAGCCTTGGCTCGTTATAAAGTTGAGCTCTCTTGTTCTTGACATCATTTTTTTTTTCCACCTTGAAGTTTCTTTGTTTTTTTTTTTCTCTCTCTCTGATGAGTTGATGGTTAACTTTTTTGTTGGTTTGTTTGACTTCTCTTTTGGTGACATCTCTTTTCTCTTTTTTTTTTTTTGTGTGGGAACTTGATCAGAATCCCGGGTGTGCTGATAATCAATAAACCAAAACCAAAACCAAAAACAAAACAATATGATGATGGCTAGATACTTCAGCAAAAACACCATCAGATGGATTCTTTCTTTTTTGTCTTATCTCGATCAATCAATCAATCAATCAATCAGTCAATCATGTAGCTTTCTCTAGACCTTTGTCCCTATTTCTTATGTGCCCAACCTCTTCCAGCACTTGTTTTATTTTTCTTCTTTTCTCTGAAGATAAGATCAAGTGAAGCCACCTGTTAATTGAGTCACCAACCTTTTTTTTTTTTTCTCAATGGAACAGAATGAAACAAGACTTAAAATATGACACTAGTGAAACAGAGGGACTCATGAAGATCCTGTGGGACATGCAAGCATGAGGGATACAGAGAGGATTGAGTAAGAATGGGGCTGATGTAGAACAGAAATCCCCTATGACTTCAAGGAATGGAGTATGACAACAAATGCTGTGGTTGATTGAGAGTGAGAGCTGGTTATGTGATAGCTGGTTTTACATACAAGTTTTTATCATTGGGATCTTGTTGATCCAGTTATCAAGATCTCTGGATGCTCTGGTTCCTGGCTAATTGATATGAGCATGTCAACCCCCAAAAAATCAAAGGTGTGGTCATTCAGTTTGATACCTGCAACAACCTCTGGACCACCTTATATAATCCACTTCATAGAACAGAGTTCTGATCATTTGTGTAAATCTATATCATCAGCTGAAAGCTGGTGCTGCTACAGAGGATTGAAAAGGGCCGATTTCCTTAATTCTTTCAGGCCACTGGGTTGACTGAGCACATCAGTCCCTCCTTTGTAGGGTCCCCCCTCCAACGAGTGGGACTTGGTTAAGTTAGCACTGATGGGTAATCAGAAACCAAAATATTGATTGGGTGAAGAATGCTGATGATGTCATACATAAATGGAGAGTTACAATTGATAGGGTGGTACTATTAGTGGGTTGAGTTTTGGTGGTCTGGGCTTGACCCTTCACTCGGGGGGTCTCTCTCCTTGACCTCTCCCTGCCACCACTCTTCCATCTTGGAGCAGTTCTCTCTCGACCAACCACCACCAACCAGCAAGAACATCAACAAGCAACACAACCTCAACTACCATCACAAGCGCATGACTCGAATCCCCAACTAACTCTGCCCTCTCTTCTCTCTCTCTCCTCTCCTCCCTGATACTCTCTTCCTCCGCCTCTCTTCCTCTCCAGGCTCCCCTTCTATCTTTCTGAGAAACACTTCTCCAAACAGGAATACTCACCCTTCAATACATGGTCTTCTGACCTTACTCAATCAACACCTTAAGTAGTGGATCGTACTTCAAGAAGAAGAACAATATCGAAGAAGCAGCAGCAGCATCAGCAAAAGAAGAAAAAGAAATAGCAAAAGAAAGAAGAGAAATCAAATTATATACAATACGAAAGCAACAATGGCAACAAGCTCGAACGCTGGTCTCTCTCGTCGAAGGGTTGCGGGATCAAACAATAATGGCTCACCATCAGCCATGAACGGACCGCTCTCACCAGATGGATCATCAGCCTACAATAAGACATTCCAAAACGACCAGTCGAGTACGACGAACGGAGCCAACTCCTCAAACAATCACACCTCCAATCGAGACCAATCGAATAATGACCCGAGCCAGAACCACAAGATTGCCTATGATCCACGAGATCTGGATGATTCGACTGAGAGCTCCTTGAACCCGAAACTGACGATCATGGAAGAAATCCTACTCCTGGGTCTCAAGGACAAACAGGGCTACCTATCCTTCTGGAACGACAATATCTCCTACACTCTACGTGGCTGCATCATCCTCGAACTAGCACTTCGTCATCGGATCGCCATGGTCAGGGATCCGAACCGTAGAAGGTTCCCCCTACCCGATCGATATATTGAGGTGATCGATGATCGACTGACTGGCGAGGTCCTGTTGGATGAAGCCCTTAAAATGATGAAAGCTAGTGAGAAGATGAGCGTGGGCACTTGGATAGATTTAATGTCTGGTAAGCCTTTCTCATTCTTGATTTCTGAGATCCTCTTTCTCCCCAAATCTTCTCAACGCGTATTATACTTAACAAATTAATTCCAAACTCCTTCTTCTGATCTATTTCTTTTTTTTTATTGATAGGTGAAACTTGGAATGTGATGAAGATAGGGTATCAGCTCAAGCAAGTACGGGAACGATTAGCGAAAGGATTAGTAGATAAGGGAGTACTTCGAACCGAGAAGCGGAATTTCCTATTGTTTGACATGGCGACTCATCCGATCTCAGATTCGACCTTCAAGGATGATGTACTACGTCGCACGCTTTCGATTCTCACCTCACGCACGGTTGCGGTACCAGTCTCGGATCTGTACCAAGCAAACGTACGTTACCGAACGTTACGAGCGGTCTGCATGGTATGTGCATCCTTTGCGGCCAACGTACTCGAGAACGCGCTCGTCCATCTCTCCTACGATGCCCGTGAGGCCGCCTTCCAGAAGTGCGACGAGCTCCTTGCTGAGTTCTCTCAATGGCCCCTCGGGGCCGCCGGCGCGGGCTCAAGCAACCCGAGATCCCCCGCCTCCGCTCCTCCCTCAGTCGCCGTCGGATCCGGCGGCTCTGATGTCACGAACGCTAACTTGCTCGAAATCACTCGGGTCAGTCGCGCCGAAATGGTGCCGGGTGATGAACTACAGATCGAAGTGGTCGCTGCTGTATTGCATGTGTTCAGCAAAATGTAAGCCTTTTTTTTCTTTAAAACTTTCATTCTATGTTTCTTTCGGTTTACTAACTTCAGTTCAACTTCTCCTTTTTTTTGTCCGCTATAGGGACTCATTGCTGTAACCGAATAATTGTAGAGAATAGAGAGAAAAAAAATAAATCATCTTCACACATTTACTTTTGGTTTCTAATTTTGTTTTTCTTCTCCTTCTTCTTCTTTCCCTTCATGAATCAGAAAGAGCTTATTGAAAAAACCCCTTTTTCATCTACTTATTTTTGTTTATTAGGTTTCACATTTTTTTCATATTTACTTACAAAATAGTCTCATTTTTTCCCCTCCTTTCTTTCTCTTTTTAGATTTTTTTTTTTTTTGATTACACAAGCCTTTCTTATTCATTTGGTTTCTTTTCGGTCTCTAAATTCCGTCTTCCTTTTTATTTGTTGTCTTTTTTTTTTCTTCTTCTTCCCCTTTCTCAGCCCCATACATGTCCTCTTTTTTTTTTGAATGATTACATATCTACATGAATACTTGAAGCAAATAAATATACATTATACATCTCAATATAAATGACTAGAACTCTGGGATTGATTCTTATGTAGTCATTGTCAACTTCATCTGTATGTACTAAATATGTACTCAGACAAAATCTTCTGGAAGAATGAAATGTTTAAGAACAAAGGAACTGGTTTCTGTGACTCAACATGGGAGTGCTTGGCTGCTCAAAGCTAGTTTGCATATAAGAAGAGGCATATGAAATAACTGTATAGGAGCTTGATTGCTAGACACATTGATCAATAAATTCACTGCAAGACATTATGGTCTATGTACATAAATCTTAAGCCTTCTCACTAGTTTTATTTTTTTACACTTTGGATCAAGAGACCAATTAGCTCTAATTAGCCAGCCAGAAAGCTGAACCTTGCCAAGTGTAGCAATATTGGGTGGCTGGAATCAGAGCCACCAGCAGCTTGTGGCTCAGAATTAGCTCCTTCCGGTGCCACTGAATCTGGGAGCCCACTAGCAATTAGCTTAGCCCCCAATGAAAACTATTGCATAAAAAAACATTTTTTGGCTTGGTTCGGTTTCAGTTTGTTTCTATTTTGGCACAGTCTGCTCAGTCTTATAGCTCAATTCCTGTTACTGAGGCATTAATTTGTATAACCAAAAAAAAATGCAAGATTTCTCAACTCATGAGTCATAACAAAACGATTCCTTTTAGTGAAAATATTAAAGAGATGATGCACAACATACTTGAGAAAAACCACAAAAATATTAAAGAGATGATGCACAACATACTTGAGAAAAATCACAAACTGTTCCTCGGTGTTAATCTTACAGTATTCATTTCTTTCTCCTTGGAAGGTTTCAAGTCAGATTGCTTGTATGATCTACTTTTTCAGCCTCTGAATTTTGAGGTTGTTATACCTTGGTTTGACAACGTTGCTTGCAAGAAAATCAGTTCTTCTCAAACATCAAATTGATGGACTTGGTGTTTGCACAGCCAATGGGGTTTGTTCTCAGTTCTGACAAAGATTCATTGCTGAAAATGAAATCATGCTCATGATCTGCAACTAAAATCTTTAATTTTTAAAGTGATCATCCTGCTACAGTACAAATTAAAAATCATCCTTCCATCTTTTGTAGTCCAAGAATTCTTAAAAACCGAGGGAGTTGAGCTTGAAAGTTGATGGCACGAATAATGGTACCCAATGACTGCTACAGTACAAAATTTTGGTCAAATGATGAGATTAATCCAACTGGTAGAATCATCAGCATCTTAGGAGTAACTTCTGTATGCAGTCTTGCATTCACACACTCAAACCTTTGATATTTGATGCTGAAGACACTCCAATTTTGAGGTCAAATTCCAATTCTCAAGTTGGAAATTGACCCTGCCAGAAGTGGTGTACCATGCACACCCAATTCCCCACAGTACAGAAGCTATAATTCAATTGGGGCCCATGGTTAATGCTCATCAAGCTTGGAAAAATTGGGCAATGACTATGACCGACTGTCTGCCAAACACCCACCTGATCAAGCTTTTGATGTCACGTTTGGGAGGTACATAGATGGCTTTGCATTTGGTGGGCCATCTGATCGTGTAAAAACGTTGGTCGCGGGTCTACTCAAGCCCGACTTCACGGGTCGGGTTTAGAGGCATCGATTTTGGGCCCGAGCCCTGCCCATCTACAGCTCGGTTCACATGGGATGGATCCAGTCATGCCAAGAGCAACCTCTTCCGCTCAAACTCGGTCGCCCTCATCTGAAAACCTCATCAAACCACAAATAAAACTTAAAGATGTCTGAGAGAAAGGTGCTCAACAAATAGTACGTTGCAATCAGGCTTCGATAACGACTCGCTTTCCTTCCATGGTTCACTCGCTGATTTATGATTTTCGGATAGCTACCCACCGGACTTCGATCCAGCCAAAATCCCGAGAAGGAAGCTAGCCAAGGATCGTCAACAGGTCGTCAGGTTGATGGCACCCTTCTCTATGCAATGTTTATCTTGTACTGGTTAGTAGCCCTCGCCAACTATGTAATGCACTCTCCCAAGAAAGTAAACTCACTCGTTCCACAGAATTTATTTACAAGGGGAAGAAATTTAACGCCCGAAAAGAAGCGGCTGCTGGTGAGCATTACTTTGGGATCAAAATCTTTAGGTAAATTGTTCGTTTTATATTATTTCAATTCGCGCACACACCGACAATTTTCATTTTTCAATCCAGATTTTATATCAAGTGTCCTCGGTGCTCAAATGAAATCACATTCAAGACCGACCCTAAACACTCCGATTATGTGGCTGAGCATGGTGCCCAGAGAAACTTCGAACCGTGGAGAGAGGAGGAAGCGGCAAAGAATGCGGGCTCGGATTCGGAAGATGATGTGGAACGACTTCTTGCTGTTGAACAGGCCGAACTCGAGGAAGAACAAGAAGATTCGATGCGAAGCTTAGAGAAGAATCAAATCGAAAGCAAACGAGAGATGGAGATATTGGACAAGTTGCAAGAGATCAGAACTCGGAATGCGCGTCTTGAACGATCTGCAAACGGACGTGGAGCAGATGGAGTGCTTGCGAGTGTCAGCAGTCGAATTCAATCTGGTCTGGCGGGCGCAAAGGAAGTACTGGAACAGGAACGTCAATTGAAAGAACTCGAAGAGGATGAGGCTGAAGTCGCGAAATATTTTACAAAGTTTGCTGCTCTACCCAACAAATCAATGCCCAGTATCCAAGAACACGATGATAATGATGATGATGATGGACCGAAGCCATCTGGCTCTGGAAGTCATCTTGAACAGGAAGCTGGCGAAAAAGACGATCGACAACATAGTGCAATTAATCAGACACGAGAAACCATCACCCAACCTACGCCTGAAAGCATCACAATCAAACGGAAATTTACCGATGTCGAACCTGATGTTCATTCCTTGCTCTCGGAAAAATCTCGGGAGATGTTGGCAAATGCGTCTGGGTTCACCAAGCTTCCCCCAAAGAAAAAGAAAAATGCTACCGTCAATGCATTCGGTGTTAAAATCATAAAGAAATCGTAAAATCATCAAATGCTATTCACAAGTTTGTAATCCTATCATGTAGGATATTCGACTGTGCCGTTGCCCATGCTGCTCAAGGAATACACTCAAGTCGACTGTTGACATTAATTCATTGCACACCTGAACAGAAGAGAATGACTCGACCCTTGTGATGAAGCAATTCTTTGAGTTAAATCTCACCTCTCCCTCAGAATAAAGTTGCCAAGCAATTGAGCACTTATCTTAACCAGCAACTTTCCCCATATTGAAATTAATTTACTGGACATCTATTATATTCCCTCTTTGTATATATCATCAAATGTTGTAATTTTGAAACACTATGATGGAGGTTGTTCACCCCCATAACATGTGGTGCAAAATCACAAAGATTTCATAATTGTCGGGGTAGTGTGATAATGTTTGTTTGGCAAATCAACATACACAATCATCCTGCCACCAACTGGAATGCAACACCATTCCAGTACTAGTGCTGTAACCAACTTTGGGTCAATACAAACACATGTTTCTGTAAAATATTCATAAGTAAACTTTTTTCAGTTGCTCTGTAGCTTGAATGCTTACAATCCTTTTTCTTGGATAGTTAAGAGTTAGCAGAATTTGACAACAAGAAACATAGGGGGTGTTCAAAATCGTCTTTTAAACTGCATTTTCCTTAGATCATCAAGTGCACAAAAGTTGTGAGAAAGGCTCCAAATAGAGAGAAATCTGAAGTTTCATACAACTGATGTCTTGGTCTTGTACAGTTCTTGATTTTAGGCAGAAAGTGGTTTCAAAATCAACTTTGAACACCCTAACACTGGGATTGCCAACTATGTAGATTACACTTCACCAATTTTAACTTGGTTTAGGACAATCCAGTTCAAGAGACAGCCATTCAAATTATGTTAGTAGTGAAATAAAATCACACAACCCTGTGTTATAAACATGTTACTGTTGATCATTGAAAGACATAGGCCTTGTTTTGACACAACATCATGCATCATGAATGTCAAAGTTTAGCACTAGATTGCACAATATACATATATCAACAAAATGTGGATTGGTTACACTACCTGTAGTGTTAGTACTTAGTGCAGACTGCAGTGTAGAATAGCAGAATTCTGCTGAAAAATAGTGCAGCACAGTGGGATGCTGCCAGCTGTGAGATAATGCTACATTTTTTAGGCCAAAAAATTGGGCCCACTACTCTGCACTCCAACACATTTGAGCAGGTTTTTGCTGCTAAAATTGCTGCAGCATAGTGGTCCCAACAGTGCTCTAAAGCTACAGAGTTGGAACACTGTTTTGAGGCAGGCTACACTAACAGTTGTGGGCTGTTTGGCATAGTGTAGTATAGCAGCCCAATGCAGTTATATTATAAGAATAATGTGCAAACAGGGCAATCATATTTCAAATAAAGTGTGTTTCAACTGAGTATAAAGTTGAATTAAAATCATTGGGCTTTAATAAAAAAAACATGGTTTTTCCACATTTTGACACGGTTTTTTCTGGGCCCAGCAGACACGGTTTCCACGTTTTGACACAATTTTTTTTGTATTGATTTTTTATACCTTATTTTCCATGTTTTTTTTTTTTCAAAATTTTAAATTTGTTTCCTAGGTTTTGATATGCGTAGAGTTTTATGGTAAAATTCATTTTCCATAAAAATCAAGAGAGCTGAAATGGAGTTCATTTTTTCCATCATAGCATTTTTTTGTTTTAATAATGCAATTAGACCTATTTTTTCACTTACAGCTATAACAAGAAAGCTTGCGGGCTCCAAAGTCAGAAAAAAAAAACGGAAAACAGTTGGAAGCTTTGGAAGAATACACATCCATGTATGTATGGATTACCTCTGGTCAAATCAGCTAACTTTTTTTACACTCACTTTCAGGTGAATCAGAATCCTGATGGAAAGTTCACTCCATCCACCCTCCATGCCATGGCCTTGCTACGGCAGAGCTTCCCCCCAGGGGGGCCAGTCAGGTCCCATTGGTGCCGTGGCCAGTACATCACAATCTGTACATCTGGCTGTATTCTTCCAAACATTCCGACTGCAGTCAATGTTTTTTTTTGGGGGGGTGGGGGGGGATTTTCTGACTTCTGGGCCCACAAGCTTTTTTGTTATAGCTGTAGTTTTTTACAGCTTAATTTTCATTGTTTTTTGACATTTTAATTTTTTTCCTACACTTTTAGACAGTTTCCTTCCAGCCGGCAAGGTACATGTACCTCGCCTTCTGGAAGGAGGCCCTTCCAGTCGGCGAGGTACATGCCTTGTTGACTGGAAGGACCTCGCCGGCTGGAAGGAAACCCTTCCAGCCGGCCATTGGCCTTGAGTATCCGTGGGGATACCCGGATATCCGCCAGATTTGGGCGGGAAAACAGCCATCCGCAGCCAAATCCGCACCCCCTGGCAGGTATCCACCAGCAAATAGCGGATTATCCCCAACCATCTCTATATTGCACTTTTGTCAGAAGTTTTAATATTGCTCCAAATGAAAAATGAAAAATTGGAAATTGGAGTAGGGTATGCTGGAGGGATGATAATAGATGAATTTTTTGAAAAAATAAGTACCACATGGTTTTAAACTGGTGTGGAGTGAGGCATTCCCCAGACTCACAGTGGAAAAGGCATTGTGATCAAATTCAACTTGCATTCTGACCTGGATACTGAGCTCTGAATAATTTCTGGAGTTCATTTTTTTCATATATTATCATTCTCCTTGCATACCATACTACTCTTTCCAATTTTTATTTGATCATTTGGGGCAATATTGAAACTTTTGAAAAAAGTGCATTAATTGCAATATTTTTTGCAAATTTCAAAAATCAGTTTTACATATTGTTTTTTTCAGAATCATTTTTTTGAAACTTATTTTATACCACCAGATCAAGTCTCATGATTTCAAGTTGGTGGGTTGGGGTTGTGTAGTCCAAACAAACTGGCTATAGACATCTGGTAGGTTACTGTGCTTGTATTGTATTTGATGACCAGGGTGATACAATGTATTCAAATACACATGTACTCAAAAAAAAACACAATACAATATGTGTATTGTATTTGTTGCACCATTGCTCCGGGATTGGATTGCTAGGGCAATCCAATCCGTCATTTTTTGATATCTGAGATCAAACAATCAATCTGTTCCAATAAAATGTCTGATACCTTATTGGAACGGAACAGATCGGTTTCAGAGTTGCTTCACCCCATGTCCAAAAAGCCCATTTTATCATGTCCATCAGGTCCAATCAAATTTGGGCCGTTTTTCAAGCTTGTATTGGATGATGTAAGAAAGAATCACTGTATTCTTCCAATATTCCATGCATTGTCAAAATAATAGTGGGCCTTTGTGAACCTACATAAAATTCAACTCTTCAACAAACCAGTTGCTTTTGGGTAGATTTTAGTTGAATGTGTTACTGATGCTTGCTGTAGCTGGCTCTGACTCTGAGTTGCAATGATCTCTCCTTGGAGGGACTGTATCAAGTTTGGTGAAGTATGAACAGCTCAGTTTGTTGTTAGGGCAATTTATCAAGCACACTTGATTCATTTTTTTGGGTTGAATTTTGGGGCACTATGAACCAGCACAAGTCGGGTCCTTTGTTGGTAATTGGCGTGGAAATTCAAGAGGTCCATTGAAGAAAAGATGAAACACAGGCCTCTCTACCAGTACTGTTGTAACCCGACAAGGGGTTACCAAAGGGTCTCAACCACCTCTCATAACATGTATATAGTCTTTAGTTGCCTACATATATGCAATTGAGATCATCATTGTCTCTCCTGAGTTCCGTTTCAAGTACCGTCGCCGGTTCTAACTCAACTAACTCCCTTCCCTTCCTGGTTGGAGTGGTAAACCACTTGTTGCATTGCATGATTGCGCCAACCAGAGGGAGGGACTTAGGAGCAAGATCCACCCCACGGCCTAAGAGCATTACAGATTTTGGTGGGTGTTTTTTTAGAATCAATCTCACACAAATTTGGTTGGTTGTTTTTTCCTCTAGTTTTCACTTTGGAGATCTTTCAAGCTGTTCCCATCTATGTACTAATTTTACTAATGGTAAACACATGTCCTTCATTAATGATGATGATTCTAACATTCCCAATTTCAGATACTGTACAGTGCAAAATGTGTGATACAGGATGAGGCAGGAGAATTGTGATCAACAAAAATGAAATCTGAAAGCCACCCAAGGGCCTAAAAAATCAAGAAAAATGTGGAATGATTCTCCATGATCTTGTGCATCTTTTGCTTCCCCAAAACATGATTCTCAGCCAAAAAATGGTGCTGCTACACATGATTGAAAATGTGGATTTCCTAATTCTCTTAGGCCTCTGGCTTGAGTTGATGAATAAGTCCCTCCTTTGGAGGGTCCCTGCGGGACGTTGTCCCCCCTCCAATAGGGGGAGTTAGTTAAGTTAGCCACCGGTTTGACATTGTACAAGCATTGCTCATGATCGGTGGGAATCAGAGGGGCAAGTTGTTTCGGAGACTCGGAGTCAGGATTAGGTTTGCCGAAAGATTCATGTCGCAAATTACAGCTTGATGCTTTGATCTAGTCCTCGCTCTTTTTCCCTCACTTCCCAGTGTAAGATACAAATGCACACATACATACATAGATTAGGGGCGCCAAGGTGTGATATACGCAGCAGAATGGTTGAATAGTCGATATTACACTTTGATTTGTAAATGTATACTACATGCTTGGTCAAAGTGTGGTTGTATGCGAAGTCTGTAGGAGTTTTCAATAAAAAAAGGTTCATTCGCCCATATTTTCATATCCGCCATTTTGTGAAACTCGGTGATTCCGGACGATGCCGTTCATTAACGTTGCAGGGGATGTTAATCTCTTCTACGAGATCAAGTCCACCAGTTCTCCCCGTCAAGCCACCGCTCCCTGGCTCGTCATCCTTCACCCGCTGTTTCTCGATATCTCATTCGTTTATCCTTACGTGAACGGGCCTGGTCAACTACTCGAGCGATTCAACGTCATCCTGATTGATTTCCGTTCTCATGGCCGCACGCAAGCGAAGGTCTCGCCTTCATGTGATCTTTGGACTCTAGCAGGCGATCTGGCCTTTGCCCTTCATAAGCTCAACCTGCCACCTGTTCATCTCTTGGCTACTGATCCACTCGGCACTGAGGTTGCAATCCGCTTCAGTGGTTTATTTGCCTCTCTAGTAGTTAGCGTCTGTTTATGCACCATGCCACCCTCAGAAGAGTTTGTCTTTACTCCCCTCTCTCTCTATCACTTTCTTTTTTCGAAAAAAAAAAAAACATCAGCCCTTGGCTGGCTCTTTCAAACTCTTTCATATGGTTTATAACCAGATTCTCTGAGCCATTTGGTTTTTAAATATTTTTCTCCCCAAAAATACTCCGCCCATCTCTAGAGAAGGATTTGTAAACACTGCCTTTCAAGCCGTCATGAGCTCCTGGACGAACCCGGAGCTTCCCGAAGATTGGGATGCATGTTAGTAGCACACTTTTACACTTCAAAAATTCGCTTAATCACTGTTTCCTGATGCTCTGTCCATCGAGCCCTCTTGATTGTTACGCGTCTTTCGGCTGACTTCATTTCTCCGATCAAACAGCTGTCTCGGCGACCCAATGGTGGCTGTATGGGCCCCGATCCACTTATTGCTCTCTAGATGTCCTGGACGCCTGGGCTGGCGCTTTAATTCGTCGCTATCCTCCCTGCAAGGCAACTCACGCGCTTGGTTCTTGTGTTGCTTACGTGGAAGTAAGCTTTCTTCCCCTTCCATGCACTCAGTGATCAAAAGATCAACTCAGGACGAATGGTAGGTGATTGAATTGATTGATTCTACATATTTCGCTTGCAATCAGCGTGAGACACCTCCCGCATCATTAGCACCCCTGATCAAGGTACCGATGTTGGCTCTCCACGTATGTATCTCAGACATAATTTCTTTGTAGAGCAGTATAACTTGTTCTGATACCTTGTTTGCCGAATAGGGTGATTTCCAGAATATTTACGATTGTCCCGGCGCCGAGCGCCGCTTCAATGAATTTATCAACCTTCCCCCTCCGAGCAGCTTCCGAGTCATGAAAGGTACGATACAATCAAGTGCATTGAACATGTTTTTGCGTTGCATTCAAATACTTGTTTCTGACTAACTCACACTTCGGACTGTCTCAACAGATACCCCTCTTCAAATGTTTGACACGTTCCCTGAACGGGTGAAGGAACAATACTACCCGTGGATTGACAATCTGCTTGCACAACAAACCGGCCCCATCCCAACTGAACCTGTTGCTGCAAGATCGGCGCTTTTCAATCCTAATGAAGCTCTGGAACGATTGGCAAGACTACTAGGTGACCCTTCGGTCGCTTTACGCGATCCTCACACCAGTGACAGTTTTTACGCCCTTAGTGATGAAAAGATATCAAGTAACGCTGAGCGGATTCGAACTCTGGAGACCAATCAGATCTACAAGTTTTCGATATTTGGCGGTGGTGCACCAGAATCATGGACAGGCGCTTCATTTGAGGAGCAAAATCCTGAGAGGTGAGCACTAATTGTGCTCTTGCACTGGTAGATTGTTCCATCACGCAGGTGCTGACCCTGGGTTCCGGGTGGTCTTCTTGCTTAACTCATGTCCTGTATTGTTTGTCCTTCAGATTTTCGAAACGCATTCAAAAAAATGCTGCCGAGGGTGGGACGAACATGGTTGAAGAGATTATCTTGGCCATCACCGAATCAACGGCCGAAGACGACTTGTTATGAATTCTATTCCTATCCCCGGCCGTGCTTTTGCGGAGACAAAATCGTGGTACTTTCGACTCCTCATGGAAGCAAAATAGCAAACGGTGGATGAGTACCAAACAACCCAGAAGCCCAGCAGACAATACAGCCATTCTGCCGACTACTGAACTCTTTCAGCTGCATAGAGCAGCGCATGTTTTTGGCTGAATCATGGATTATGTTTACTTAAATTGCATTGACACAAATATCACTGGAGTTACCTTTTATTTATTTATCTAATCATTCATCTCGCTTCTCTATTTTCCTTTCTCAGCAACCTTGTGGGGCAATTTTCTTGTAAGCCTCTAAGCACTGTTCAGCATTGTACTTATGATTTCTTGGATATTTGGGTGATTGCCTTTCTTGCTTCTGTAACCTAACAGTTTCAAACTGCTTAGTCAGCCCATATGAACAGTGCATACATAAACAATACACTTGGGTCTGTGGCTCTCAAACGTACAAAAAAGATTACCTAGACAAAAGAGGCAATTAAAAACCAAATCATTGCATTGGTGTTGTGATGCAGTAGGTACTGGTGCTAACTGAACTAAGTCCCTCTGGCAGTTGACCGATGGCTTGCCGGAGGGACTTACGGGCTTTGTCCCCCCCGCGGCCCAAGAGGATTAAGGGTTTTGCTGGGGACTTTTTTATAACTCGTCTCCACAGCTCATTAATGACCCATTTTACTTCTAGTCTTCGCACATCTGATGGCTCATCCTTCCCCCTCATGGCCATGTCTTCAATTCCTCTTACACCCACCAGCTTGTTAGAGAAACAAGCATTCCGGCCTTCTTCAGCTTATGAATATTTTGTATGGGTTAAGAGTGAATTCCTGGTCCTTCGACGCCTCAGACATGTATGCAGCAGTAATCAATAGTCACTTGAATCATGCAATTCCCATTGCGTTTCATACCCAGTACCCCATGAGGGGTCGTATTGGGTTATAAGCCAAGGATAGGGTGATATCAACAGGACATGACCACCCAGTCAAATCATGCGACCCAACTTTCTTCCTATCCAATTGCAGTCATTCCTCTTACCTGGCGCCTGAAGTCCTTTTGGATGATCCGCATACAATTTGACCGACCGACTGGTTATATGTTCTAATAGGGAGGCGTCCTCCATATCGCCAAGGCCAACAGGTAAGCCGTTTGTCTTGGCCGTCACGGTCTCCATTTTGATCAGAGCCATCGTTGTTCAAGCAATCCCGTGTTAGACCGCCAAAGAGGTGGGCCATCTCATATCACCATGATGTTGCCATTCTCATCACATTGTGTAGTGAATGATCAGATGTGCATACTAGACTGTATTACATGCAGAAGATCCTGTACTTGATGTGTGGCAAGCAATACAGGAGCCTCGACCAAATCCTCAAAGAAGGATGAAAACAAAAAAACCAAATGTGGGAAAGGGCCGAGTGGCCTGACAAACTCATGAATGGCATAGAAATATACCTCCAGAAAAGCCCCTCCTAACGGTGGGCGACTTTCTACACGGAGGCCACTAGATAGACACAGGAGAAAGGATTAAAAAAAATGTGATGATTTTTCTAATCCTCTTGGGCGAGAGGGTTGACCTAGCTCATAAGTCCCTCCTGCAGAGGGTCCCTGTGGGACGGCGTCCCCCCTCCCATAGAGGGACTTAGCTAAGTTAGGCACTGGTGGCCCCCTCTTGCAGTCAGAAGCTGAGATGCCCACACAGTAACTGTCATTATCTCAATGGGGTGTTACATGCAACTGATGCCACAGTCAAGTGACACATTTGTCAGCTGGTGCCTCTTTTATGAGATTTATCTGGGAAGGGAGTGATAGAAATGATAAGGGGTTAATGCTATGCAACAATGACTTTAAGATAAACCTATTGAACAAGTGAAAGAAAGGTTGTGTACTGTGGGAATTGAACCCACAACCTCAGCATTCATGAGTGATGCTCTGACCATTGAGCTAAGTACACATTGCCAATGTTGAATACATTTGTGATGTATGCTTGTAAGATGTGATGATGACGTGGATCATGAAGAATTGCCTCCAATGCTGATTAGAAGTCTCACATGGATGTGTTAGCAATGTGTAACAAGCAGTGCCTGAGTTTGACACTTCAACATTCCCCCGTGCTTGTTACAGGGTTGCTAGCAAGTGCTACCAATCTTAACAAGTTCAATTGACACTTCAACAAAACCAAGTAAGAATTTTGGCCTGATTGAATAGAGATTGGGTTAATTCTATTCAAACACAACTTTATGAGACTCATTGTTTGAAAGAAGTTGAATTGGTGATGAAATGACATGAACCTTACATTAGCTACTTAAAAGGCTTTGCTTTTCTCTTTGATTGGCAACACAGTATCTTCCGCCAATCTTTGGGAGTTTCATGGGCACTAATAAATAGTGCAGCCAATTTCAGGTTTTCCCTAATGGTTACTTGAATAGTTACTTCAAAATTTAATTCAAACATGAATTAAGGTTTGACACTGACACTTTGTTGGCCTCTCTGGTTTGAGGTTAGAAGAAAACAAGCTATTCTGAATTGTAAACTGATAGAAATGAGACTGTTTTAACTCTAATGAATCATGACATGATGTTGATAAATTCATATCCACACCCATTTTTAGGAGTGTGCAAGGCTTAGATGCTCTTAAAAAAGGGTGTGTTAACCACAAACCCTCTGGTTTAGCAAGTAACTGTCAAAACCTAGGGTGCTAGATGGATCCTGGAGGATATGTGGTGTCACTGCCAGGATAATTGGATAGATTGAGGGTATAAACTGGGATTCACTCAACCAATTTAAATTAGGTTGATTTCAACTAATTTGAATTGGGTTGATTTCAACCAATTAAATACAAATGCCTTGGATTTGTATTTCATTGGAAATTGGTTGAGTATATCTGAGTTCAACTGGGATAGATTCAACCCCGCCAATTATGTTGGTAGTGTGTGGTATGCACACACCCCTTGTATAGCAAGGCATCCTCATTAATATCTTCTCTCCTAATCAAGCTCTATGAATGCCAGGGTTTCAAAGCCACTTGGAAAGTTCAGCATTGGCAGAGTAACTCTGCCAATCATGAACTCTGCCAAAGTTCATGATTGAGCTTTGAAAAAAAAACTGATATAGTTACAACTCTGATATTGGATCATGATGATGATGATTAGAAGCCTACTCAAAAGCAAGGATGATCAATCAAGGCACCTAGCTAATCTACCTTGTGAATTTTATTTGTCCAGCAATGATGGGCTGCTACACTACCATATATCCAATAGTTTAACACTCTGTAGTTTCCCACTGCTTTTTGTTAGCAGATAGCACTACTATGGGCCACTATGCAACAATAACAAGAGCTATCCTCTATCATAGCAAGTCAATGGGGGTTGATAAGCGCAAGCCAACCCCCCTCAAGCATGCCAAACTGCACACCAGCTGCAGATTGGTGTGCGCCCCTGCACACCATTGCAGAATGGCGTGCAGGCAGGCACGCCACTTGCCTGCAGGGGGTATACCCTTCAGGTTGGCGTGCCTGCCTACACACCCAATATATGCGGTCCTCAATGCATATTTATAGGGGCTTGGTTAATCGACTCCCAAAAGTTGGAGAGTCGACTCCCAAACCCCCAGAACCCCCGAAATTCTGTTGGAATGCTTATAGCCAGTAGTATGCTTATATCAAAACTCACTTGTATTTAGTGTATGGCCGGCTCTGATCTTCTGACTCTTCCTCACTGAATCTAAACAACATTTATCTTTGTGTTCAGTCAACTGTCACAAGACTTACGTCTGTGACTTTCAGCTCCCAGCCTGGTCCACCTCAACAAATTCCCCCGTATCCCCCGAGTATTGGGAGTCAATTCCCCAAACCCGTCAGCGGGTTTGGGAGTCGAATCCTCAAAAATTTTAAAAAAAAAAAAACCCCCCGGAGGGGGACAGAGTCGATGCCCCAAAACCCAGTGGGTTTTGGGGGTCGGCGAGCCAAAAAGAGCCCTTGATGGCCGAGAGAAACACTCTCAGCCGTCGAGGATGTACACCTTCGACGGCCGAGAGAAACCCTCCCGGCCGTTGAGGGTGTACACCTTCGATGGCCAAGAGAAACCCTCCCGGCCGTCGAGGGTGTACACCTTCGACGGCCGAGAGAAACCCTCCCGGCCGTCAAGGATGTACACTCTCAACGTTCTCTCTTGGCCGTTGAGAGTGTACACTCTCAACGACCGGGAGAGAACCTCTCGGCCATTGAGGGTGTACACCCTCAACGGCCAAGAGCGAACTCAACGGCCAAGAGTGTTTCTCTCGGCCATCAAAGGTGTACATCCTCGACGGCTGAGAGTGTTTCTCTGGTTCTCTCTCGGTCGTTGAGTGTGTACACCCTCAACGGCTGAGAGTGTTTCTCTCGGCCGTCGAGAGTGTACATCCTCGACGGCCAGGAGGGTTTCTCTCGGCTGTCAAAGGTGTACATCCTTGACGGCCGTGAGGGTTTCTCTCGGCCATCAAAGGTGTACATCCTCGACGGCTGAGAGTGTTTCTCTCGGCTGTCGAGAGTGTACACCCTCGACGGCCGGGAGGGTTTCTCTCAGCCGTCCAAGGTGTACATCCTTGACGGCCGGGAGGGTTTCTCTCAGCCGTCGAAGGTGTACATGTACATCCTCGACGGCCGGGAGGAATCATCCCGGCCATCAAGGGCTCTTTTTGGCTTGCCGACCCCCAAAACCCACTGGGTTTTGGGGCATCAACTCTGTCCCCCTCCGGGGGTTTTGTTTTTTTTTATTTAAAATTTTTGAGGATTCGACTCCCAAACCCGCTGACGGGTTTGGGGAATCGACCCCCAATAATTGGGGGATACGGGGGAATTTCGGGGGTTCTGGGGGTTTGGGAGTCGACTCTCCAACTTTTGGGAGTCGATTAACCAAGCCCCTATTTATATGTGTTTAGGACCTGGGCTGTCCCGTAGGACCCAGGCATGGGTTAAGGCATTATCCCGGGGTTTGGGACGGGGCTGGAGGGCTGTCCCAAGGCACAAACCCTGGGGCTTCAGGGTAAAACCCTGAAGCCCTGGGTTTTTTTAGTTTTTTACTTTTTTTTACCAGCCCTGTGTACACGTGGAAGAAGCGTCTACTTACTTGGGCTCAATACCAGAATGACGCGGAAAACTGAAACGGAACGTCAGCCTGCTGGTCAAACTCAGGAAATCATCGATGTTGACAAGGGGGGTTGATAAGTGCACGCCAACCCCCATGGCGCACGCCAATCTGCACGCCAAGCGCAGATTGGCGTGCGCCCCTGCACGCCAATCTGCTGCAGGGTAGATTGGCCTGCAGTTGGCGTGCAGGGCTGCACGCCAAACTGGGTCCTAAACCCATATGTATATGGGTTTAGGACCGGGGCCATCCCATAGGACCCAGGCCTGGGTCCTAGGGGATAGCCCAGAGTTTAATTTTTTAATTTTTTTTTTCAAGAAAAAAAAAAAAAATAACTGCTTGAGGCTGGGAGGAACCCCTCCCAGCCAGACCCTCTGTTCACCAGCTCGTCGGGAGGGGTTCCTCCCGGCGAGCCGGTACTTAAACCCGCTCGTCGGAAGGAATCCCTTCCGACGAGCTGGTCTACACACCAGCCCGTCGGGAGGGGTTCCTCCCGGCGAGCCGGTAATTAAACCAGCTCA